AAAGTATTGAAAAGGGGTTATTCTCAGCTAGGTGACATATTATATAAGTTTGACGTTTGAGTGTGGTGTTGCGTTGATTGAGGCAAGAGAGCTGTGGCATTACATATACCTTCAAAATAAAGCTTGTCTATCGAATCTCTATGAAAAAAACTGATGACTTATGAATATCTTTTTTTTATGGTCAACACAAGCTGAGCTGTTGCGCTACTCGTATTTTTGGCTTTAGATATTCGGAAATCCACAGCCTAAAACGCGGGTAAATTTCACGGGTTTTTCATCAGTGGACGGTGGTTCGTGACGCGGACGGAATTACGATATACCTACCACTCATGTTTTAGAAAAATTATTAATTGAAAAATTAGAAACATGGACCCGGTGGGGATCGACCCGACCCTTTGATTATTGGTCATTGCCACCATTAGACCAACGCGCCTGTCGAAAATAATATCTATGACATAACGACATTCGCAAATTATGTAACAAAACTTGACGTAAAGAATATATCATCTAACTTAGAATTCCCCCCTGCTAAGGATTACTGGGTGTTTGATCTTGTAGCTGGTACTCAACTACATCTACTGAGGTCATGCATCCTCCAAGGTCGTCCGGTCCTCGCCTGCACACAAGGGCATCTGCGCATCTTGAAATAGACCCGACTGGTAGACGTAACTTATCTTCCGATTACGATAATTACGAGAAAGAAGTCACAGATTAAGTATTGTTGTTTAAAGCTAATAAGCAACGGGTCGCAGGATCCATTCTTATCGGGTCCAAATGTTTCTAATCAGTAATCAATTCAAGTTTTACTTGAAACATGTTGGACTTACTCTAAATATTAAATGGGTGGCAGGAATATGGAAATTCTGTCCAGATCAAACCGCCGTCCACGAATGTAAAAGTTTTTTAGATATTATTATCTTAAACCCTCAAAGATGAATAATTCTCCCCGTTTTATCCCATTTTCCACTGTATCTTCTCCTTTCTCCTATTGATCGCCTGATGTTTTACGCCTAAAGCGATCATCGATAAATGATTTCACAAAAATCATTTCTCAATTCGTACCAATCGGTTCAGAGTTTTGAACGTTCAAACAAAGTACTTCAGCTTTACAACAATAGTATAGAAAAAACAATATGTTTTATTTTCGTACTCATCTATACTAATATAAAAAGCTACAGAGTTTGTTTGTTTAAGTGATCAGGAACTACTGGTTCGAATTAAAAAAATATGTTTGTGTTACTTAGAAAATTTATCGAGGAAGGCTTTACTATCATTACGATCAATAGGAACGAGGAAACAGTGGGAAATGTAGAAGTGGGGCTTCCGTTGTGTGCGCTGAAAAACGGTTCGAGATATCCAAAAAATAAGAAAGTAAGAATGATTTCTCTTTCAATAACGTAAATACATGTCCCCGACAGTAAATATCTATCTTTTAAGATTATCTTGCTAAAACGACGGCACGCGGACGAAGTCGTCGGTATCAGCAATAATTTATAAAAATGAGGTTTACAAAAACAAATATTGATGCCCAAAATAGCTATAGGTACTACGCGGACGAAATCGCTGGCATAGCTAGTATAGAATATTCGGTCAATCAATTGTGTAGGTGCGATGTGGGACAACAGTAGATCGTGTTGGCGAATTGCCAAGAGCGTCGTTCTGTATCGGTGACACGCTTCAGGTATATTATAAGCTCGAATGGAAAACGCCACGTTTAATTATCAAGGCAGGTCAACAGATTAAGATGGTAAACAGGACTTGTAGTTGCGTTTTTATTCAGATTCACGATCCTATTGTATAAAGATGAATTAATACAGGTCAATGGATAAAAATGAATAAACATTCGCGTGAATAAGTAGTAGATTTAAGAAGTTTTTATTACAGAACATGGCGAAAATCTTCTTCTATTGATTAGTACACGTAACTGCTTCGTCTCCTGGTTCGGTCGAGAATTGAAAAATTTAAATGTATCACGATTGAAACTGTTTTATTTAAATGTGTACTACCCGCGTAAACTACAGACAGTATATATCTGGAAAAATTTCTCCAGAGCTCCGTGGAGACTTTTCTATGAAAAGAGAACTCTTTAACAGTAGGAGTTTAATACTTGAAACGAATTTGAATTTTTTTCCTCTATATGGGTAGAGTTCTGTTTGAATGATTCATTTTATATAACTGTAAGTATTGTCTGTAGTTAACGAGTAGTACTCATTTGAATAAAAACAAGTTTAACGGCTTGAAACACGAAATATATTATTAATTAAATATTAACTAACAACGGGCCGACGCTGCGAATGCTTTACAGCAGCCGTGGTTGTGTGGGGTCACGTCGGAGCGTAGTAAAAAAAAATCAGTTAACTAATATATTTCACCTTGAAATCATTAAAATGTTTTATTTTACTGTGAGTAGATTATCAGATGTCTATGCTGTGCCCGAAGGAAACGGTTTTTTTTTCACGTTTAATCAGAATGCGAAGGTTCGGCCACGAATCAAACGATTTCTTTAATTTCTTTAAACGAAATGATAAATTAATAATCATGACTCGCATAGTATGAAATAGCAAAGTGTTATTCATTTGTAAACGTAAAGTTCGGTAACATATACAATTCGATATTCATGGATTTGGTTTAAAACGTTTTAAAAATATAGAAGCGCTTTGGCTAGACCGAAATAAAACGTAAAACACGATCCGAACTTTAATCAAATGTCTCCTCAAACAAATTGAACATTTAAAATGAAAGATATCTACTTATATATATTACATTTCGATAATTTGTATCAGAGGTTCCATGGTGTAATGGTTAGCACTCTGGACTCTGAATCCAGCGATCCGAGTTCAAATCTCGGTGGGACCTTTCATTTTGGTAAAAAACTCCTTTATCCTTATACTTATACACCCTTCTCAATAAGTTATTTAGATAAAAACATAAGCTTTTAAACAATTAATGTTATGTCGATATTTGATAAAAACTCTATATGTATGTCCGACATATTAAACTAAAGACCGTCTTTGGGGCAAAAGCATTTCCTAGCATTTTTCCAAAGAGGTTCTAGGTTCGAATCCCGAGGAGACAACATCGCTGCTTGTTTTCTAATAGATAAGAGAAAGGTTTTTATGTTTTTAAGCAATGATTAATTTCTAGGTTTCCAGATTCAAACACATTTACAGAATATTCCAAAGTAACCTTTTTTTTATAGTTCTTGAAAAAAAAATCGTATTTTACGACGTTATGTTTACTAAAACAGCATTAATCCTTATGCAATTTAGAACAAATTAAGTTAAAACATTGACCATTTAGTTCTTGACATCATATCATATAAATGAATATTGTCGAAGATATTACCGATTTAAAATGTCCCTAACATTTTTGTTACATTCGTCCATCACCGAAATCCTTGCGAAAATTCTTTTGCGGAATTTAATTATATAAAATACACATATTTCATAGCGATTTATGTAATATGTATGCGATTTTCCTTATGATATTGAATAGTGATGAAAGTTGCAAGCGAAATGAAATTTTAATCGAAGCCGAAATTGGATAACATTTTTAAGCTACCAGTTCGATAACGGATCGTTTTCGCTTGCAATAAATTGCCGTATAATTATTAAAAATTACATTACATAATACTTTAATCGCAATATATTTAATAATATAGTTTTTTTACCGAGCTTCGGAAATTTAGAATAGAATGTCGAGGGTTGCCATTGCACTCCATAACTTGTAATTTATTGTTATAAGGTTTTTAAGGAAATATGTATATATTGTGTTTGTTGCAATAAAGAATTAAATAAATAAATGTCTCCCGAATACCGAAATTCGGTTTAACCGAATCCAAATCGAATCCCATCCCTCTTCAAGGACAATTTTCTTGATGCCAAATAATGCAACAGCCTTCAGGTTTGGTTCAAGTTATTATCGGTACAATTACCTACGGATGTCGGTTACTTGAATAAGTTGGTATGTATTAATCACTGCGATCGGCTTTGAAGGTATTGTGCGACGAACGAGATAGCTCGCAAATGATTCGGACACTTCGTTATGCAGTTACGTAATAAATTGATAAGAATATAAATAAAAACGCGGCTACGTACGAGTAGGTCTTATGTAAGAAGGGTTAATTAGTTGGTGGTATAAATTTCACATTTATTTTATTTTTATCAAGCCAAAGGACATTTAATTAAATGGCGTTTATTTTGCATTGTAGTTACTCTTAAAATGTACTTCGTTATATTTGTATTGCAACACTGCAAACTTTTAGAATTTTAAATAACTTAATTTATAAAACCTTATTTCTTTGACATAACAGCTTCTCATTGCAGCAAAAATAATAAGTATTTACCGAAATTTCTCATTTTGCGACTTTTTTTGACATTCTTAATATCATTTTTATTACACTATATAAAAAGGAATAATTAATCTTTTTCTTTTTATACATCTGACCAAAGATAATAAAAAAATTGTAGGTCTGTATAATCTGTGCAAATAAGAAGCATAATAAAGCCGACATTTTGTTTTAACAATTGTTTACGCGGGAGTGTAGACAACATGGCTGGTGTTATATTTGGAAATCACATTTAAATTGTAAAAGCTTTAAGAAATGGGGAGTTGTATATTACAATTTCCCCCATGACAACGATTAAAGCCCAATAATATCGCTGGGTCGCTGGAAATCATGCCGCAGGCCAAGAATAGGAAATGGATTACGTCTAATTACGGTAGAGGTGTGTGACGTATTCACTAAGTGTTAATTATTATATTGATATATTTGTAGTTTGTTCACATGTATATTGCACATGATGGCACTATACAAATTAAAATTGCTGCTGTTGCTCTAATCAACTGAGCTACCATGCCAATTGGTTAGAGCAACAACACGGAACGCTGTTGGTGCCGGTTCAAGTCCTGCTCGTGTCGTAAAATGATGATGATGATACAATCAATAATCAATTTTTAATTAATATCATTTGTTTCTGTCAATATGCCATTAATGAACAATGAAGGATAGGGCATCCAGGCAGATCGTCATTGGACACGGCAGGATGGTATCCCCACGTCATTCTTCGTCTTTATAGAATGTGATTCGCTTTATAACGATGCCGCTGCCATGCAGTAATTATTGCAGCAAAAAGCGAACAGAGCGAAATATTTGTCTCATCGTAATTCGGAGGTTTTTCTTGAAAATGACGCGTTCCCTAACCAAATAGCATGAGATAGCTGAAATAATTCAGAAGTTCCAACATTTTTAACTTAATAACGAATGTCATTACACGTCTCTGAGGATTTCCAAAGATTCTGTTACACTTTAATTGGAATTCTTCGGAGGTGCCCGCGTCTTTTGTCTCTTGAGTTATCTATTTTACTTTTTATTATTTAAATGCAAACAACTAATGTACTATAGGTATTTCATTATTATTTTTCACTTAAGTAGTATATATAAGAATAATTAAAAATTGAAATTATTTTTTCGTTACTAAAGAAGGTTGTACATTTTAAGGCTTAAAATTCTTCCACAAGGGGAAGTATACACAAACCGGCAACCTAATGTCATAAATCTGCACCTTTTTTTATTTATTATTATCAATTAAATTATCATTAACATAATATGTGATATAGAAGTTGAACGAATGTTTACGCTTTACATGGCGAAAACAATAATACGGTGAGCTGTATAAAAAATAAATATTTGAAACTAGGAATCGATTTAATACTTTTGACATTAAATTACCTCGGTCCCATGGTGTAATGGTTAGCACTTTGGACTTTGAATCCAACGATCCGAGTTCAAATCTCGGTGGGACCTAATTTGTGAAAATCGTTTTTTTATTCTTTATGAAATTAGACCTGATCATATTATCATAATATAAATAATGTATACTATTAAAGTTATATACAATATGTGTGTTAACATGTCGCACCCCTAGATGAAAACTCCGGCAATTCAAAAAAACGTTTTTTTCAGAAATGACTAAAAACTGTTTTCGGAGTATTTACTAAAGATATCGAGTATACTAATAATTATTATGATAGGTAAAGTTCTAGAGCCTTTTTAATGACCTACTTTTTAATGCTATTGTCACAAAAGTTTAAAAAAAACTCATTGTTTTAGTTAGTTGTGTTTTCTTTAGGTAAATTTTCGGCGGAATTTTTATTTTTATTTTTTTCGATTTTTTTTTTCAACGGTCGAAGTTAGCGTTCCCGGAGTTTGAACTCCGTGTAGGTATTCATGGCGGGATTTTGAAAACGCCACTAACTCAATTTAAGTATTTTTTGAGTTAGTGATGTTTTCATCTAGGGGTGCGATGTGTTAAAAGGGCTGAATTTGTAAAATATAACATACATTTCAGAATGTTTGCTTCGACTCTCATTTTTAAACGTAGGAAATTTAACTATTATATTGTGCAACAAAACAATTCATACAATTAATCGTTATTCAGCTTTTTGAGCAGACATCATTTTGCCTCCAAAATCAATGTATGTGTAAAAAAATGTAATGTAATAAATGTGTAAAACATACATTTATTATATTTGATTTTTTTTACATTACTTCAATACTGATTATATATTTATATTTTATTAGATAGACGCTTTGTGGGAAAGAATCTATTGAAATCATATTCTCTAAAGTACGACTTGCTCATTGTTCTATTAGCGGTGTATGGCTTATAAACTGTGTGTCTGAAAATCTGAATATTAAATGTGTTTAGGAATAATAAAAATTCCCTCCGGGTCACGCTATCCCGATACCCCGATATCCTGACCACAGATGAAAGATCCGCAAAGTCTAATCGCGTATCGGGTTTAGGGTCAGTAGTTCTGTAGTCTGCGAATAATCAAAGCCAAAATAAGTCGTTGAGATGTTATAAAGATTTCCGATTTGTTTTGCCTCTTAAAATCTAAGTTTAAATAAAACACTCTAACGGTTTAAAACGCGATATATTAGTTAAACTTATTTGAAAATGACCACGGCTGCTGCAAAGCCTCCGAAACGTCTGGCCGAAGTTAAAAATCATTGTCAAATAAGTTTAACTAATATATCGCGTTTTAAACCGTTAAAGTGTTTTATTTAAATGTGTACTACTCGCGTAAACTATAGACAATATTTAGAAGTAAATTTGTCTATCCTCTTCATAAAGCATGTATGTGCATTAATAACTTAGACTATTATGGAATAATCAGCTTAGCTTTTAGAACTATGGATGGTCGAGGCCTCTAAATTATAATTTGTAGAATTGAAACATTTCGGATCATTTGAACAATGCCTCAATGCGACATGCACTTGTGATGTATAGCCCACCGGCGGCGTTTCCCAGAGAGCCATTAGAGCATTCCCATCGACATTGGCGCAGTAATAACCGCACGACTGTACACATTTTCCGACGCACATACCTCGAAGGCCCGAGATATGTATTTTTATAATAAGCTTGGTCGTACAGTAGTAGAATATTTATTGCAAAATGTTTCAACTTCGCGTGAAAGCACGTTAAAATAAATTTCAAATAAGTTTAACTTATATATAACGCGTTTTAAACGGTTAAAGTGTTTTATTTAAATGTGTACTACTCGAGTAAACTACGGACAGTATTTTATTTAGTATTAGTTTTGACTAATCACATGTAGTGGGCGTTGGCTCCTGAAGCCTGAGCCACAGTTACATAACTATTTTAGTTACATTATAGTTATTTTAAAAATTTTTTTATGACTTCCTAAATTAACACAAAATTTTCGTTTCACGAAATATACAAAACAATTCGAATCCTTGGACTTCTGTTTTATACAATTATTTAAGTAATTACGAAGTTCACGAGCCGGGTCAATGTCGTGAACAAACGCATGAACAACAAATTAAAAATACAATTCATTATGTAAGTAACAATTTAATTAAGCGTAATGTTTGCTTTCGCAATTCTAAACAGCAAAAGATCGCTGCACGAACCCGAAAATAAGGACACTTAAAGGCTTTACTAATTTATCGTTTTGATAAAATACTTGTTTATTTATAAGACATCTTGCATTAATTAATTGAATTGTTAATTTTCCTTATTATTTTGTTTACAGAGTGAATACCGATTTGCGGGCGGCGGTTACCCGAGGGTGGGGAGTGGAGGTGGCAGCCGAAGTGGGGGGCTTTGCTCCGCGGCGCTGGTAGGGGGGGCTCTTCTCGCTGCTGTTGCTGTGCTTGCGGTTGCAGCCCTTGCCTTCTATATGGGGGCATTGAGGCCAGATAATGGGGAACGTAAGTCTTTGGAAATTCATAATTACCCGTTAGTTAATTAGCCAAACCAATAATATATGGTTTGGAGTTTGAAACTATTTGGCTAAATTTCTAATTAACATACAAATTTTCTGTATGTTTTCTAAGTCTGCATGTGTCTAATGTATGTTAATTTTTAAACCGCACCGTAAAAAAATGACAAAGCAACTGATCCTTTATACATATCATAATAATTTCTAGCTTTGTAAGCACAGACACATTCTGTGAATATTGATTGACATCTATAACTGTGAAGTAAAAAAAAAATACCGAACACCCAATTAGTAGAAGATCTTATTTATAAAGTTAAGATTCGTTGGATGTAAATTTTAAATCTAAATTAATTAGGTATTGTTAGTAGCTTACGCGATTAGTATGCATTTCATTCATTCAAATGTTTGGAAGTACCACCAAAAAAATACTTTATAGTTTTAAACGTGTTTAAAACGCAAGTAAATATCAGTCGGCTGCTGCAAAGTAGTCGGGTCGTGTCGTAAACAACACCTTTTAACTGATATATTTTGTATTTATACCGTTACAGAGTATTTTATAATTACCGTATACCGAGTTATCAAGACTGTCATCTGATTAGAATAGCCTTTATCTTACGCCAGTTATAATTGCGAACACTACATATATTTCACCCTCGAAAGACTTCATAATCATAATAATAATAAATAATACTACTTCGTAAAATTTTCAGCAATTATGACGTTTGAGGGGACAATGAGGGTCACACGTGGAGACGTTTATGGCGGAGCACCAGGCAGTCCAGCTTGGAAAGAAAGAGCACGGCGCTATGGTGTCTCTCTGAGACAGGTATATGCTGCACCTTCGGCATTACGACAGGCTTTTGCAGGCGCTATAGTCACAGGTTTTGGGGACAGACGGTTAGATGTACACTTCAGATTATATCTTGATAGAAGAAAAATACCAAGGTATGTATAACTATACCACCTTACACTTATTTCGTTTTGAATTTCATATTATTAATATAACTCTTCATTTTAAATTTCAGTTCGGTATCAAACATAGAAGAAACATTGAAAAATATTTTAATACAAGACTCACAGTCGAAACATTCCGCTTTTGGGCAAATAAAAATAGATCCAACTAGTGTAGTTATAAAGAGAGACCTAGAACATACTTATCATTCTGAGCAATATGTCAAAGAGGCGCTAAATGAAAGCATGGCAACTAGTCATCCGAAACTATCGCCATCCCAAAGTGAAAAGGACAAAACCTTACAGAGTAGAGTGGGCGTCGTACGAAAAACTACTCTAAAACCAAATATTGAAAGCAAGAAAAATGACCCTGATGAACCCGATATTGATACTGAAAACATACCTGTGGTGCAGGGTTCTTTTGGATCTTTCCAAATAACTAAAACTGAGGCTGACATAACCGAAAATAAGCAATCAAAACATGAAGATAAGCACAGCCAAAAACATTATACAGCCACTAAAACATCTAGAGCTACGACAACCACAACTGCAAGCACGACTACAGCTAAAACAACGACTACTCGAAAGCTTCCATCTTCAACAGCGAAAAGTAGACCATTTACAATAAAATCTTTAATAAATATTAAGCCGAAATTAGAAACTACTTCGAAAAAAATAAACGAAACGACAAGGACAACTGGAAAACCGATTTCAATTTCGACCACAAGTACTACAACAACAACTACTGTAACGCCAACAAGTGCTCCAATTTCGACAACTACGAGAAATGTATCACAGATATTGTTTGATTTACTCACAAACGAAAACCACGATAAAGACCTACCTCAAATAGATACACTATTTACCGTTCCACATATTGCAATTGATAATGAACCATGGCGACCAATAACTAGACCTTATTATGAAACGACAAGCAAAAGTCCGAATTTGTATGATGAAATAAGTGAACAACATGCCGAAGACAGAATTGGCGTTGCAGAAGTAGTTGATGATGTTTCCATTCTAGAAAGTATGCTTACACCAATACCTCCGGGTAAACACAAAGATAATTCAATACGGAGACCGGGGGGACATTATAATAATAAACCGAATTTGGCGGCTGACACTTATAGACCGAGCCCAGTGTATACAAGTTTTACGTTACCTACATATGCGCCACCTATTAAAGATATGGAAACTTTGGGTTCAAGCTTCCCCAAAGCGCATCCTTTGCCGGTAGATAAGATAAGTGGAGTAGTAGAAGATATATCCCACGAAAACGCCGATGACAATGATGGTAGGCCTATAGAGCGCCCACCAAAAGATAAAACGACATCAGTTTCCATCAACGTTGTGCAATTTGACCAACAAGAAAATAATACGGAGAAAATTTCAGTCGACGGAACTTCAATAGTCAAGAAAAATAACACATCACCTATAACTACTTCAACGGCTACTACATTAACAGAGCCACCAGAGACATTGAGCATTAGTAATAGTAAAATAAGTATCACCGAAGTATCTTCAAATGTAACAACAACAACGCCTGTGAAATTAATTGATAATAAACTAAAGGAAAACTCAACAAAGCGACCTAATAACAAGGTCTCCTTAATTCCTACTACTAGCGCCCCTATTCACACTTGGGAATTGGTCAATACATCGACTAATACCAATGAATCTATGAACAAGTCATCACCTGACAAATATTATAATGATACTTTACAAGCTATTATTACTAAAAACGACGCTTCATTTCCAAACACTACCCCAAAATTTCAAAGCAAGATCTCAATTCTAAGAAATTTGACAGATCTTATTAAAAAATACTCTCATAGTACTTCACAGAAACCAATCGAGCGAGTAACTGAAACAGCAAAGGCGGAAGTCATGGCTAAGTCTGATGATTCTAATATTGAGGATGATGATTCCATGACTGGGTCAGTAGAAGTCGTTTCCGACGAGGATATAGAAGTAACGACCGCTGCTGTTATAACTTTAATGCCAGCGAAGTCTAATCTTGGTGTTAATAGGCCACTTCGTCCACGACCGATAATAGAAACACAGACAGCGAAGGATGCCGTACGAGGCCTCTTTCAAAGTAACATGAATAATTTTAGAACCAGTGATGAAATGCATAACGAACATACGGCTGAAGCTTCTGAAATTATGACCATATCTACCAAAATGGACCGTGCACCAATATTGGAAAACGACGGTGACCACGTAGAGTCAGGCAGACTTTACAGTACTAACCACCATAACAGTAATAGGTTGCCTAAATCGAATGACTTGAATTCTTTTTCTTCTAGTGCTAACGATAATTTTGGAAATAAGATTAATATGACAAATATACCTCAAGGTACATATAGAGTGTCTTATCATGTAACTGGAAGTGTTAGTAGTAAACAGGCGAACAAAACAAAACATTTACCAGCTTACGAGTTATCCCTCGAGCCCGATGTTGTATTAGAAATACCCGTGAATCAAACTAACTCCTTAACAGCGGATAAGTTGAAGCAGCTCGCAAATTTAGCTACTCTGTCTGATTCTAATAATAATCTATTTCGCACCGGAGGAATAATTTCTACTAAAGCCATCCCTTCTAGTTACACTCTCAATCAAGCGGGGTTCAAGATATTAACAAAAACGTTTAACAAAATTCAACCATCAAAGCAGGATGAGAATAGCTTAGATAATTCGGAAAAAACTAACAGTAAAACATACTTTGAAAAGCCGACTAAGGAGAAGGATGTAATCTTGGAGACTGAAGACCAGGGTATGAACCTTTAGTATATTATTTATGATTATAGACATTTTTTATGATAGAGGATGACAGACATGGCATGGGGCACACTTGATGGTCGATGATATACCCCAGCCTATAGCATCTAAAAAAGATGCGCCGACGGCCTATTTGGATTTGGATTTTCGGAAATCCACAGACTGAAACCGAAACGTGATTTAGCTTCACGACTTTTTTATCTGTGGACGGTGGTTCGTGACTAGGACGAAATTTCTATATTCCCATTTAATATCTAATTTCCAGACGAAGTCCAGGACTGGTGGTGATGGAAGCCACGACCTGTTGATCATTGCTACTATCAGACCAACGAGGCCATCAAATGTATTTATGTACCACATTTTTCAGATCAATGCAACAACATGACGTCGTTCCGCTGCACATCCGGAGCATGTCTACCAATAACATCTAGATGCAACCGACTAATAGATTGTCCAGATGGAGAAGACGAACACGCCTGCTCGTGCGCAGATTACCTGCGCGCAGAATTTTCCCAGTCGAAAATATGTGATGGGATCGTTGACTGTTGGGACTATTCCGATGAGAAGAAATGTGGTAAAAAACTATACATTAAATAAATGATTCCCAGCCGTGAAGCTCGAGAGTGTTAAAGAAATATTTATCTTTCTAGAATGGTGCGAAGACGGCCAGTACGTTTGTGCAAATGCACGACAATGCATAGAAATGAGCAAAGTGTGCGATGGTACTCCCGACTGTCCATTCGGTGATGATGAAAAAAGTTGTGTAGCGTTAGGTGATGAAATGGGTGATAACGACGTTATACCGTATAATGAAGAAGGTAAGTTTATAAACAGGGTTTTATGACTCAAATTTATAATTGATCATCATAGAACTTTCTAATGTTTTACAGGTTTTGTTATGGTTCGCAAACGAGGTGTCTGGGGAAGGCTTTGCGTGGAGAGCTTTGATGACGTAGTTGCGCAGGCGCACAGTTCTTTGAAGTTGCCTGATCTTGGCAAAGCCGTGTGCCGAGCCATGACATTCCAGTAAGTCATTCATTAAGTATGTAGTATACTCGAGTAGTACATTTAATTGAAACATTTTTAACGGGTTGAAACGCAAACTATATTAGTTAACTTACATTTAATTTAACTACGGCCCAACGTTTCGGATGCTTAGCAGAAACCGTGGTCGCGGTGGGATGAATTAAAAATGAATTACCGAATGTATTTTGCTTTTTAGACCGTTAAGTATTTTAATTATATAAAACCGATTAATCATACTATTTTCTATAGCCTTAGTTAAATTTTGAATCGCTGTAACTAAATGTTTTCATGTGTTGCATAGTATTGCGTTCAGCGTGAGAGATCCCGGATTCGAATCCCAACGAAACAATAGACTGTTTTGGTCGGGCATGACACAGAACTCGAGCGACTACATGTCTTCAAATCGCCCTGTGAAACGTATACAGAAATGTGTTCCACGAAGGGATTCCACTTTTCCAAGACATTAGAACTAGACTAGGATATAAGTATTCTGGTAATCATTTTCAGAGATGCCCCGCTGGTAAGAGAAGCGAGAGAAGGAAGGAAAGTGAGTTCCGTCGGCTATTGGGAAGTGTGGCACAACGCGAATGCTCGAGCGGCAGACACCAGACTCACCTTCAAGCGGGCTTCGTGTTCTCGTCATCGGGCTCTGAGGGTGCGATGTAAGGACCTGGACTGCGGCATCCGACCTCACGCTGATGCTCAGCAACCAAGGTATAAGGGGGAATAGAATGGACAATATTGTCTCATTATTTAGTATAGTTAATCGGATAGGTTTACAACTTAACGTTGGCGAATAGTAGATGATATGACTAGAAGCAGAGTAGCCTAACCGCAATGACTGACTTGAACCATTTATATTCTAAAAATGTTAATCTACTAATGCACAGTAACCGAAAATTGTTCGTGTAAAGAATTATTTACACGAATAATAGTACAAATTAATTGTCTCGTAAGTTAATTGCGTAATTTTATTTTCCTCCTTATTGAAAATCATGTTTTTTTGTTATTAGGCCACTCTGGCTCTAGCAGCCTCATATATCGTTTGAAAATACTTTTTCGTTTAATATTTATCACATGATTGCACTATATAATTAGTATTTATATATTAATCTGAATATATTTTTAATTTATATCGAAATGGCCTACTACTGTTACCGTTTCACTAAGATTCAAACCTGAGAGATCTCGTGCCTTAACGTAATACTATGAGCTGGTTACGCATCCTACGAAGGCACTAAGATTCCCCTAATACTGTGTCACTTTAAATAAAAGTAGTTATTTTCGAATAATCAACAAGCCGCTGGTTCGATCCCCACCAGAGTCCAACGTGTATCAAATCAGCTTATATTTTTTCTAAAACGTGTTGGATTCCGTTTGGAAATTCGGATTTTAAACGGGCGTTAGGAATATCGAAATTCCGCCCTGGTCCACCGTCCACACGCAAAAGACGTGAAGTTTAATCGGAATTCGGTTTTAGTCAGATTTCCGAATATCCAAAACTAAAATAGGCCGACAGCGCATGTTACACAGATGTTGTATGGCTGGGCTTGTCCTCTGTCATAAAAGGCTTTAAGTAGTCGGTATCGGTAGCGATGTTGTGTTGGCTAGGGATGCTAATCGCGTGCGGTGGGGCAGGGTTGTGGGCGGTGGCGGAGCAGCGGCGGGCGCCTGGCCTTGGCAGGCCGCTCTCTACAGAGATGGAGACTTCCAGTGCGGAGCGACCCTCATCTCCTCGGAGTGGCTACTCTCCGCCAGCCATTGTTTCTACCAGTGAGTATACTTGAACATAATAATGATTCTCACTTTTGAACTTTGATATTTGAGAAACACTAATTTAAATACTGTCTTATTTGCATTTTCCAGCCCGTAAATAAATACTGTCTAACTAGTAAATAAGTTTAAAGTGTTTTACTACAAAAACCCATTAAAAAAAAAAGTCTTACTTACTAACTTATAAATAAAAGGCGGCCTTATCGCTAAACAGCGATCTCTTCCAGGCAACCTCAAGTACAGGAAAAAAGAAATAGACAAAGACTTAGTGGGTAGGTGTAAGGAATAATAAAAAAGCAAAGGTAGATCGTTAAAGTATACTCAACAAGTAGGAAAGAAATACTGTCTATAGTTTACGCGAGTAGTACACATTTGAATAAAACACTTTAACGGTTTAAAACGCGATATATTAGTTAAACTTATTTGGAAACAAAACGCCGGGCCGAAGTTAAAAATCGTTTCAAAAATAAGTTTAACTAATATATCGCGTTTTAAACCGTTAAAGTGTTTTATTCAAATGTGTACTACTCGCGTAAACTACAGACAGTGTTTAACGGATATTTTCATATGATGCTATTATATAAATAAATAAATATATTTAGATCAGATGCCGGTTGTAGTCCCGCCTGTGTCATAATTTTTTTCCAATCTAGATTTTTCATTTATATCTTATTTCTTAAAACACGATATAATTATTCCAGGGCAACAGAAGCACACTGGGTAGCAAGACTTGGCGCATTACGACGCGGAGCATGGCCCCGTGGACCCTGGGAGAGGATCGCCCGTGTCCGTCAGGTGGTCCTACACCCACGCTATGCACCCCGTGGCTTCCGCAACGACATAGCTATGCTTCGAGTGGACCCTGTACCACTCCATGCGAGGTTACGACCTGCATGTCTACCTCAGCCACGAGCGCAACCGCCAGCAGGACAATACTGTACCGTAGTTGGTTGGGGACAGCTATATGAACACGAGAGAGTCTTCCGTAAGTTTTTGTTTATTTTTGGAACTCCAAGCCCTCATTACGTACGGTACGATAATAAGAATATTCTCACTTCTTCACTGCACACGTAGGTTTAATCGTAGCGAAATCTTGAGGCATGGGGCCAACGCATGTCTGTGTGTGGAATCGATTCTTTATTTACAAGCAAGTAGTTGATCATACTTGTGCTTGGAGGAAACAACCTTTCTTTTCCCGGGATTCGAACGCAGGATCTCGCGCGCTTAATGCAATGCCAGGTGTTTAGCTATTTAAGTACATTAACTATTTAACCTATTTCGGCTTTGTATATTCGGAAATCCATAGAATGCAACCGAAACGTGATTAAACCTCGTTTTTTTTCATATGTGAGTTCGTAAGCCAGAATTTAGATTTTCCACCAGTAATAACTAGATTTTCGAAACGAACTAGTCAAAATTATCACAGTCAGTTCTTATAAGTATAAAACACATTAATGACTATAATTCGCGTTTTAAACAGTTTAATGCTTTATTTAATGTGTACTACCCACGTAAGCTTCAGATAGTGGATAATTCAACAGCTTGTAGTGGAGTATATGACTTGAACACCTAATACCAACGACGCAATAATTAGCCTAATTTGGGCTAAGTATTAACTTACCTTTGGTTGATTTAATTTCTTACTTGTCTGAATTTCATTTGACTAAAGCATTGGACATCATGTACACAAAGATTTTGTGTACATTGCGTGTTTATTATTAGAATGTGTTTGATTTTCGTCTTATTAAACAGTTGTTCTTCCATATAAATAGCTTCCATTCAAATATTTAATTAATAAGCCTATATATAATAATGTAATTACTTTATTATTTAAGTAATTCAGCGTATTAATTTGATCAAATCTAAGATTTAATTAAATCACATTTAACGGTTTAAAACGCGAAATATATTCACTTAATGTTTATTTATTTTCACTAACCGACGTTTTGGATGCTTTGTAGGGTGGCAAATGTCTAATCTACGCTAGCGCCATCTGTTGCCAAATCTATGGTAACTTGATTGATTAAAATATTTAAATTTTTAGCTGATACCCTGCAAGAGGTAGAACTTCCCGTGATATCAACGGCCGAGTGTAGACGCAGGACGAGGTTGCTGCCTCTCTACCGGGTAACTGAAGATATGTTCTGCGCTGGATACGAGAGAGGAGGTCGCGACGCCTGCTTGGGGGATTCTGGTGGACCGCTTATGTGTCAGGTGCGTAACTTGATATTATAAAGTTTTATCAAGCAAAAAGTTTTAATAAATAAGTTTAAATCGTCTGTGATACAAAAACTAGTTGGAACTGATTATAACAATATAATCAATGTTTGAATGATTCGCCTTCATAAGATAAACTTGGCGATAGGAGTAGCGGCGAGTTTCATGCCAGATCTTCTTGCACACCCATAAATTAAAATTTGCGAGTAATTCATAACTTAAATAAAACACTTTTAACGGTTTGAATCCGAAAATTTATTAAATTTAAGTAACAATATATACCCCCGTGACCACGGTTGCTACTAAGCATCCGAATTGTCGCCGTCGGGCGGCAGTTAAAATACATTTAAAAAAAGTTAACTATGTAATACGTTTCGCATTATAAACCGTTACAAGTGTTTTAATTAAACGATGGTGGCCATTCGAAAAGATACCAATCCTATGTTCTTTTCCAGGAGTCAGACAGATGGTACATTTACGGAGTGACCAGCAATGGCTACGGATGCGCCAGAGCGAATCGTCCAGGCGTTTACACCAAGGTATCCAACTACATCGACTGGATCGACTCGGTGATCGAGTCACACACACCGCACCGCAACGTCACAGAATCTAGCAACGAGACCGAATCCAGCGAGTTCTATGCCGATCTAGAATTCGCTGAAAGTAAACGACCTGTTAAAACCTTTGACACTTGCAGAGGCTTTAGATGTCCCCTCGGGGAATGTTTACCAGCGTCCAGCGTTTGCAACGGCTTCCTGGAGTGTTCTGATGGAAGTGACGAATGGAACTGCGCCAAGTTGAACTCCAGCAAGCTAAACCCCGACTGACTGTGGGAGCCAGTAATTGTAGATTAACTGTTCACGACTGATATTTTTAAGTAGGTTTAATTATGATATGGGACTGCTAGAGCCAGAGTGGCCTAATAAAACATGATTCTTCAATAAGGAGGAAAATGCGCTATTAACTTAGGCCTAAATGAATTACTACTACTATTATCTTGTGTAAGTTTTTTGTAGATTAACATTTTAAGACTATAAAAATATAAGTTATAAAATTGCACTTAGGCCACTCTGCCTCTAGCGGCCTCATATATTCTCTAAGGGTTCTGTATATATAGGTATATTGTATACCCAGTGCGTCGACGCTTCTATTTATTTCGACCATGGACAACCTTTTCCGTTTGAACTCTTATACTCCTTCAAATGGACGATGTGAGCCATGAATAAAGCCTAAAACCACACATCGTGTTTTAATAAAACACCCGTCTCTTAAAAATTAATTTAATCTCTCGACAAATAAATATTTCAAAATAATGATGGCATTACACAGTCAATCGGTAAGAACGGTAAAAATTATCGTTTATAAATAAACACGAGTTACATTGATTCATTATAATACTTTAGCACAATACAAATTGCTTAATACAAACATCGATTTGTTTCACGTCCTAGATTAAAATTGTTTAGACAATTACGGTAATAGAAAAGCGTTATTGCGGTTCCGTCTTGTCGGGGTTTTAGATCATTCTACTCCGTCTAATAAAGGGTTATAAGTTAATTCTGAAATCTAAATCATTTTTTTTAAGTCAGACAAAAAAGCGTGGTGTGTTTAATAAAAGGTATACCCTAGTCACATATTAACATGTTAAGATGCGCTGTCGACCCATTTTGGGTTTGCCATGGTTGACTGAAGCCGTAAAGCCAATTACCGAAAGTTTGCAGGAAGATGTCAGAGCTGATGGAAATCGAACTCACGGTCTTGATTATTTCACCATTGACTTTCCGTTTGGTTATTATTGCGCAAGACTCCTAGAACGGTATTATAAAGTACGATGTACTTATTAAATTATATTTTAATAAACTTATCATCCTATATTAGACGGGTTGCAGTCGACACGGAGCCATATCTTAATTTCGACAACCGCACTCCTTACATCTAAACCTAAGTATACAAACGTACAGCGCGGTACATTACGGTCTAATGTCAAAGTAAAAACACCAATAGAAGGAACATTACACAGGCCAGTAAACATTGAAGTTAAATATCTTAGCACTATAATGAGCAAGAAACCAAGGTTCCAAGTTCGGTGTCCCGACGATAATATCTATACTTAAAGTACTGTTTGTGCATAGACCCGAGACTAATTTAACTAGACCGTGCAAAATCGTAATATGACTAATATAAAGGACAACGTCGCCCCGGGTTCGTTTGTAGAGCTGTGAATTACTGAGTCCCGCGTCACTGTAGTCCGAGAGCTAGCGACCGTATTTCTTCAAACTTGAAAATCATATGAACTTGTATATAGATAAGAGTCACTAAGTTTAAAAATCAATCGTCATAATTGTACTTACTAATGATCTACTACAATTTAAAAGCATGTAGAAATACGCAACGATTGGTTAGCTCTTGGGCTATACGTTTAGCCCTTGTTTTCGACGGGCGTGGTGTTCAGGCCGGTGGGTGGCTTGTTCAGGACAGTCTTGTACTGCTCAGGGATGGGATACTCAGACTGAAAAAAGCAAGATTTACGTCAATATAATATTATTATTGTAAGTAATTCTTATATATAGAGATCACAAAGTTTAAAACAAATCTGCAGGTAGTCTATATTCTGATAGAGGACAAGGCAAGAATAGGCTCACTTGATGGAAGTGAAACAATCTCTTTTTCACCACTTTAATTATATCAATGTACAGAATGGTAACTGTTACACAGACGATTCGTTATTCGTCTAAAAGTTGTCTGGCCTAATAAACAATTGGACAAAGATGAGGCCCCAAACGTTTTTTATCATTACAATAATCAACTTAACCATCCAAAAATTGACAATCGAATTGAGTCGTCAAATTTAAAAATGGGCGAAACGTTGGTTGGCAAGTGATAATCAGCTAAGCGACTATCTGAGGGTGTTTGTGAAACACCGCTTTAACATGTGTATCATGTAAACTTTAACATGTGTATTATGTGAAGCTTTTTCATGTGTAAACTATGCTTTGTTACCCGGATGCATTTCTATATCCCTAACAACCAATTAACATGCAGATTTATAGACGAAGTCCAACATGTTTCAGAAAATTATTAATTCATTAGGAACATGGGTTACCACAACTTATAAGCAAGTACTTAATTATTGTGCCCAGCTCGATCGTAACAATATTGTTTATACAGGATTCGTACCCGATACCTTTCGTACTTTACGCATTGCTAGGTATCATGTTTATCTGTTGAGACAGGTATTAGAAAAAACCCCATTATCGGAGCCACGTCACTATAATATCCACACGAGTATGTAGTTAGTTCTAATTATCGTTTTTATTGCTGACCACACCCATGTTATTGATATACTTAATTATGTTCTGAAAGAAGGAAATTATTAATAACTAGCTGTGTCAGCGACTTCGTCCGCGTAGAATAGTAATTTTGGGCATCCGAATTTGTTTTTGCAAACCTCTTTTAATGAATTTGTGCTATTACACGAAGTCGACGCGTCCCGTCGTTGTTGCAAGTTAATCTTAAAAGGTAGTATTATACTGTCGCTGTTTTTTCTATCATTTAAAAAGGAATCATTCCTTCATACATAGTTTCTGAGTATTTTGAACCGTTTTCGCATTAGTATCAAAAACAAACAAAGGAACGAAAGATAAATAATTTTCCCTGTTTTTTTTTTACATTTCCTGCTGTTTCTTCACTCCTATTAGTCACAGAACAATATTTTATAGCCTTCCTCGATATATGCTCTAATCAACACAAAATACATTTTTAATTCGAACCAGTAGTTCCTGAGATTAGCGCGTCCAAACAAATAAACAAACTCTTCAGCTTTATATATTGGTATAGAGTATAGATACCGACCGATGATATTACCTAATCTATTTATTAATTTTACTTTTGACTTGTAGTATGTGACTACTACTTTTATATTTAAAATTTCCTAATAATTACAACTTCACGCCCGTTAGGCCTTATAACCGTAAACATAGTTAGTAAGCGCAGTGTATGCGTAAACAACTAAATTACTTTTGGTACCGTAATAACGTTGCAATAATGCTTGAAAATAGAATATACCAGAAATATAATATACACTGTACCCACTTAGATAATGCGAAAGTGGATATATTGAATAATAATAAACCAAAAGAATAATTTAACCCAACGGTTATTTCAGTGACTTACATAATCTCCATTAGCCTGTGGCACAAGTACATTCATCTCCGACGACTTGGAGCTGACGATCTCGACGTCGAGAGAATCCTTCGACAGGTAGATCTGACAGCCATCGGTCTTGTCTATCGAAACGGTCGGCACCTTGCCGAGTACCTGCAAATATACACTTTATAATGGGATTGTTATAGACCATTTGTTGATAAGTATGAAAAAATAAAGATTCCATTGCAGTTCTACGATATGAATTAATTTTGTTAAATTGTGGTAGACATAAAACTCGAAAGTCGATAAAAAAAACATAAATTTATCATACGAACGTAAAAATTAATTTTACGTTCTTGAATAAATACCAAACGATCGTACATTTTCCTTAAATTATGATATTTTGAAAGAAAATGTGATTCCAAATCTAATTTGAATCCACGTATGAAAACGAGAATGGAAATGTTATTTTCCGAATATAACGATGTAACGATAACATTCTACAGCATGAATAAAAATTTCTAAAAATTTAAATAATCACTCGGGGTTGCGGTTATCCTAAGACTCAAAGAAGTCAACGCATATAAAAGCGTGACGGATTTTTTATCTGTGAAAAAGTTTAAGTTTTTCACAGATTAAAAAGGGAGAGGTAATATACTATATATAGCATCTCCTTTCATTATCCTGAAAAAGTTTAAATGTAGAATTACATTCAGGACAGAAGACAGATTAAGAAAAGTCACCTGTCACTTTAAGTCAGCTTATGTAATTTTGGATAACAGAAATATTTTAATTTCTTACTTATGTATACATAATTTTTTTATAACTCCTTTAGTGTGTACACAAAGCATGAATTCAGAAGATGTGACAGTAGTGGTAGAAGAACAACTTGCAAATTGGTCCTCATCAAATGTTTATGTATATTGGGAGCATTTTATGAATGAATACGGCCTTCCTATCGGACAATATTTTATAAGTATTATTTCTGCACTTTACGCTCGTTTGACCATTCTTCATGTGGTGTGTGCCATTCTTCATATGCTTTTATACCTAACACACCTAGAGCAAGAGAGTTTGACAAAATGACCATACGTTGAACGTCATTATTTCAGACAATGTTCGTCCTTAGATGCATACCTACAGGAATTTATATGCACGCATTTATGACGAACGTTCACAAAAAATCACGGGAGAGATTGAAACAACAGCAAACTGAACTCGAAGACCTTCAACTGCAGGTGACCTTCAACCTCGGTTTTATTACAAGAATTAAAAGCTGCCAAAGTTCCTACCTCCTTGACATAGTTTAGTTAAGTTTGAGAATGGGAAATATGCAGAATAAGAAATTGGTTTTAAAGATGGAATAATGTCAAGCAAAATCAAAAAGATTTCCTTTATAAACATACGCGCGAAATAGTTTGATCCTAAATCCTGGGATGGAATTCCATTCCTTTATCAGACAAAGGGCAGGAGTAGGGTTTCCTCGATGTCATTGCCAAAACCAAACACTTATAGAATATCAAAACTAATAAATAGCATTATACAGATTCAAATAATAAACACAAAGCTGAGCATAGAAGAGTCAGCGTTCTCCGAAAGAGTGGGAGATTTAAAGAAGAGCATCGAAAGATTGCGAAAAGTACGTGCTCGCGTTAGACAGATGGTTCAATCAGACGAAGAATTACGGCATACAATTAACTCTTGTAATAGCAACTGTAGCTGGGACGACTTTGAAGAGAACGTACATAGCATGCCAGATGGAGGTATCTGATAATCTTTTGCGAATCTTATTACAGTATCTAAGTTATTAGATGGTTTGTTTTAATTGACTAATGATCGCCCGTTTTTGTAAAAACTGGCCAAAACGCATTTGTCATTTCAAAAAAAAAGATTTATATAAGCATTTAATGTAGATAAACAAATTAGAAAAGGTGCGACAGTCTCGGTGGTGACAACACTGATTTTAATAGCATATCCTGTGGCATAGAAACATTTTCAGAATGCGAACTCTTAGTGGAATTACTAAAGGGACTGAAGGGCGGCCAGGTTCCAGAATTCGAGCCGAAGGGCAAGGGCGGCGAAAGCTCGGGCGAGCCCATGACCCACGACGACAGCATCTACTCGTCGACAAGCGACGACAGGAAGCAGGACTGTCACATCAAAATCGTCAAAGTGACCAACGTCTTCAGGGTGGCCTATCTTAAGCATTGCATTAAACAGAAACGGCTGCGGCGGGCCAAACGACGCGCCCAGCTTAAGAAAAAGGTACAAGTCTCGTCGGTACTAACAAAAATCTATCAGTCCATTTCAAATTTCTGTAGAAGAAACAACAATCTAAATATAAGTAATTAATTATGACTGTACTAATAGACTATACGTATTTTTTTTTCCATGTTTCAGAGTGATAATATAAAAAAAATTCTAGAAGACTGGCAAAAGACATTGAACATGGTGATAAACAACAAATTGGCACTGCTAAGCATGCACCCACTGTACACACCGCAGGAAGCCATGGGGGATTGCTCACATGTTAACTATAGAGATTACTCCGATTCGGACAGCGATTTTAGGAATACCACGGACAACGCGCCCGACGAATACGGTCTCAGCTGGTCGCAAATTGACCACCGGAATATGTGTTACGATGTCGGTAGGAATATTGCTAATAATCTCGCAACGAAAGTAGTAAATTCATAGAGGTAACTTGCAGGAATACGAAACGGCGGTATCGAGGGAACCGTATGAGGAGGACGTAGCTTGGGAGAAGACTCGGATGAAAGCATGCGATCGGCGCCTGTCGGGCCCTGGTTATCTAGTGCCACTTCCCGAGGAAACACTGAGTCAAATGGCGATAGAGGAAATTAGGAGCGAGGCGAGTGAAGACGGAGATTCTCGTGACCTTGTTGCTATGTAGCACGTGTCTTATTTGCTAATTAAAATCTCAGGAGTAATAAAAATTTTTGTCCGTTACTTTATTTCTCTTTTATGACGGAGGAGCATGGGTTTTACTTGGTGGGACGTGAAATATGGTAGCTATATAAAATGTAAATAAGATATTCGATATTATTTATTGTTTGTAACCCGGAAGACACTAGTCACCCACGACAAAGGCTTGCCCTAGGGGACGACGACGACGAGACAGAGAGACCCTTCTCTGTCTGCACCATGTATATGGAAACAATAATGTGTTTTTGAATTGATTGATTCAGATCAGCGTATCTTGTTGTTCACATATTATATTATCTTACGAAATCTCTGACGGATTAATTATTAATTAATTTTACAAATATGTTGGTTGTTGGAAAACTACCCGCGGCGTTGATATTAATTGTATACTATTGGACCACGGAGCCCTTCCTACTTTATTAACTTGAATGCATAAATGATGTTTTAACTAAACAAGGTAAAGCAACGAAATTGGCCTTGTAAGCCAGTTCATTTCGCGAAAGGTTACCCTACCCGCAGAGATGTCGTTTTACGAGATAATATTACTTTCTTAGTTTTAATAAAAACGTAAGGTAAGATAATGCGCAATATAAAGCAACAAATTGGACATTTAAATGTCGAGAAGAACTTCTCATAAATTATACGTAATAAAAGTTTTAGGACGTTTTTTCCTCCAGAGATTTACCTTTCTACAAGACAGACTGCAGCTAAATGGTGTTAAGCATTAAGCTAAGCGCTAGAGTTCTTGGGTTTGAATCCCGGGGAAATAATCGATTATTTCCATCGGGTAAGGCACATAAGTCCGATCAACTTAGTAATAAAGCCGTTGCACTGGTCGGTAGGGGGAAATGGGATTTTACATACTACCATTTAAATTGGGGCACATAAATGTCTGTACCATGATCCATGTATGTGTGTGTTTGAAAACTTCAATATTTTTCACATGTAATGCACATGAAGGCACTATATAATTTAAAAATCGAAAATAAATTGAATGTCTAATTTAAAAGTCGAAAATTGAAAGTTCCGTGTTGTTGCTCTGAGAACAGCACGGAACGCTGACGATGCTGGTTCAAGTCCTGCCCGAGTCGAAATTTTTTTCAATCTATTTTCGATTTTTAAATTAAATACTTTTCGTATTAAAATAACATTCCGTACTTCTATTTCATACTTTTGTTAAAGAAAGCACCAGTACGTTCATGAATAAATTCTTGTTTGAAACTTTCACGGTTTAAAGCATTCCGTTATTAATTACTGAGTTGAAAGCTACGCTGTTTCACTGTTGTTTCTATAACTTCACCAGAGAAATCCATTTCAAAGAAGCTCTCCAATTTACGACCAAGAATCAATAAATCATTGACCAGTGAAAGTTTGTCGTTTTGAATACTTCTTAGTCAGAAATATTTCTCTACAACTGAATGTATACATCATGCTATTCTTTATTTACAATAATCTTTTAATGATAGATTAGACGATTAGACGAGGCCAAAAAGGCATGGGGTTCGATAAAAGTTGGAATACCCCAGAAATATATCTCGACAAGATACCTCGTCGACCTATCTTGGCAAAACTATATATCTAATGTGGAATAATTCCTATGGAAGTAAAAAAGTTTTCTTTGTGATTTATAAATGAAAAAAAATACCATAATATGTTTTTCGAGAACGGTCGAACAACGTTAACTCAACAGAGCGTGTAAACTAAATCACCATATATCCCTAACATAAATACATTATTTTTTCCTCTTGCCCATCCACGAACATATTACCATAACCGAATAGAAACTATGATAGAGAATGAATTAGGAGCATTTTATAGGTCACCATTTATAGCTAAGCAGAAAACCTAATTTGTTTTTTAAGGTTCCGTATCCAAACAGAATCCTGTTATGATTTCGCTATGTCTTTTACCAAGCTGTAGATCACAAGAACCGCTAGGCAGTTACCTGGTACCGTTGGTACAATAAATTGTGTATCTTTTTTCGTTGAAGATATAGGCTCCCCCCACCGGGTCAGTGCAATGGAGAGAGGAGTGTACTCTTTTGCTCACAATTAAACCCCGTCTGGCATTCAGTGGAGGGAAGAAGGACTATCCCAGACTTACTAAAACTCCAAGAGCCCATGTCTATGCTACGGAGAGATCCTCTTTGCGAAGTCAATGGTACGGAACCACTTGCCGCTTTTATCTTAACTACGCCCCACGGATTTCCCTTTAATATAATCACTAACCTGCATCTGCACAGACTGGCAGTTAACGAACTCGATGCTAGAGACAAGGTTGTCGAAGACCACGGCACACTTGGTGCAGGAGTCGAGGATTACGCCGTTCACCTTTCCGCGAACCGTCAGCGCGGAGTCACGGCATCTGAACATGTAGACCATGTTGTTCATGTCAGCATTCTCCACGACCAGATTCGAGTTGCCCTTCTGGTATTCCTATTTTGGGAAAAGAAGGAAATATTACCATAAAAGTCCATACAATTACACAAGTCACATACAATTATTGTCCATTATTATAAGTTTAAAAAATAAAGAAATAAAAAACAATCTATAGGTTGAATAGAAAAAAATTTATCTGTTGGATAGACCATTTATCAAGAAAGGCTTAAGGCTATATAATATCATATCTATAAATCTTTCTTTAAATAATAAAAAAAATTTCAGCAAAAATTTTAAGATTCCGTACTCGCACAACGACAAACGCGGTTATAAAAAAAATATACATAAAATAATGATCTTTCTTTGGTAACAGCTTTATTAATTATGATGCTGAGGGTGTTGTAATTTTAATGCCCAAAATTATTTCAGGCGGATGAAGTCGCGGGCACATCTAGTAATAAATAAAGTTTTTAAAATATGTTTCTTTTAATTGTATAAAAAAAAATTATTATTATTTCTTCTATGGCCTGTGTGGTTTTACATATTTTTTGTCCTTCTCTTACTATACGTAAAGTGAGAAAGACAAATTATGTAAACAAACTCGTCAGAACGGCAGATATTTCCAATCGGGCAGTTGTAATCTAGTCGGCCGCGCAGGGACAGTCTGTGACGTCACAGGCGAAAGTTAATTATCCATCTACCAAGTTACAAAATTAATTAAAATATTAACTCGTACAATAATAATGGCAGAAACTTTCCGTAAAGTTTACGCTCCGTAAATACAACGGCGTATCTTTTACGTAACAATGGAGAGATGAAACTTCTCGATGTAAGAAATAAATTGCTTCTGCTAGTATTGATCTCCTGAGACGGGTGACTCATGCGATTCGGGGTAGGATTACAATTTCAATTATTTCACTTACAGTCTTTTGCAAGGAGGAGTTGTTGTCAAATTACTTTTAAAAAAATATTGAATTGTCTATTGCGTTGAACGAGCAAAATTCTATTTAAAACGATAAATGTACATAAAAGTTAAATCCGTTAGTTCTTGTGGAGCATGTGTCCGTTTCACTTATCGAAAATAAAACGCTTTTAACTGTATAAAAAACGAAATATATAAGTTAACATTTTCAATTTATTTCCACTACGGCTAGACGTTTCGGATGCTTTGAAATCGGGGGTCAGTGTTTTATTTATATGTGTATAACTCGCGTAAGCTAGAGACAATACTGGAGAAAGATAACGATCGAAGCCAAATATAAAAGTGGATTTTGATTAACTAATTTTAACAATCATAATCAAATTTAGTTGAAAGTTTCTGGAATGACTTTGACTTTCATATTTCAACTTCAAATGTATATATCTGGTATTAATAAATAATGATGAACACAAATTTGCCGCTATGGTTATTAAAAACGAGACCGTACTGCATAAACATCTGTGTCGCATCGCAAAACATCTCGTATTAATTAAATTACACTTTATAAATATTCAATATCGAATAACTGAAATGAAAAAAGAAATGTGTCATTCATTGATTTAATTTTAAAGCAGTCGGTATGTCTCAAAACAAAGTCATAAAGAAGTAACCTCTTTTTGTTATTTTGGACATTGGGCGGACCCATTGAGGCAATATAATTTAAAGAATGGCTTTCTGAAAACTTGTGTTTGACTTTGGGTGTATCAATATAACGCTGATAGATCCAACTTTTAATAGGGCTAAATTAAAGTACTTTTATTCTTTTATTTTTATCACAAACCTTGTAAGTTTAAAACTTATGTAGTTTTTTGTATCAATATAATATTCTTTTGCTTGGTAATGTGTAAGTTTTTAATTACAAAGCCTATAAAAATAAACAAATATAAATGAAACACTATGTAGTTATTACAAATAAAAATATTTGTATTATAAAGACGCCTAGAATGTTTCTTAGAAAAGTTTGCATTACGTTTTATGAAGATAAACAACGTCCCTTTGAAACTATCGCCGTAAATAAATAATATCTTCACTGGACTGTCAAAATTGTATCCGAGTCAAACAATTCTATCCCTCACTACTTCGGGCGACGTGAGGCTCGATGCGATAATAATTTATAGCGCGAATTTTCTTTTGTTTTATTTGGATACGGCAGATGTTTTGGTTGGTACGTGTATACGTAGGTCTTACAGCTGCACACAGGTCTTTCTCAGACCTACCACATTGATCCAGTGCAGTTAGGTGGGTTCTAGAGATTATCGTTATAAAAATGGAGATAATAATCGCGACGGACGGGTCACCTGCTAACTTTAAACTAATATGAAAACTAAAATAAACTAACATAAAAATACACACAGCGAAACATGTAACATTTCGCTGGACACCGAGTTTTGCAACGGAGTGTACTAACTAGTATAAAATCTATTAAATATTACAAAAAATAATAATAATATTGTATATTTTGATTATAACGCTATGCTAAGATCGCGGGGAGTAGTTGTTTGAGAAAACATTATTAGAAGGCCTTTATTGTAACATGCAATATATATATCAAAACTGTCGTCACGAACACAAAGCCGATCTACTGTATTGTATTCTGTCTTTGATCTCACTATTATCTGTTAATAAGCGAAATATTTCTGCTCAAATAATTCCACGTTATCATCATACATTTCTGTATAGAATTTCTCTAGAAACCATGAGAATTACGGAGCTTTAGTGTAAAAACGAATAAATTTTAAGTAAATATTTCAGTTTTTCCATCGAATAAAATTTTATAAAATTATTTTTTATTATTAGTGTAACAGCCATTTGAGTTATTGCTATTGCACATAATGGCATTATATAATTAAAAAAAGCTTACAAAAGCATCACGGATCGCTGTTGATGCTGGTTCAAGGCCCGCTTGCATCGTAAAACATTTTCAAACTAAATTGATTTTTGTCTTCTTTAATATTAATAATCTATATATTATAAAACATGTTATATAGACACAGATAGACATCAAACCTACGACCGTATACCACAGCAATTTTACCAACTCTACACGTTTGTACGTATTCACGTATTCCAAGTCTCTACTGGAAACCTGAATTGGTATTGTCTTGGAATTTGTAACTGATAAAGTAGTTAAGTTTTTGCACAATGCCAGTGAAATTTAAATACTAACAAATACATACTAAGTTTGTATACATTTATTTGTTTCGTAATTGAATTGAAAGAGAAAAAAAATCTTTAATCCTTTGAAGTAACACAATTTCAAAAGTGGAAAAAAATAATAATTGTGGTGCAAAATGATGGAACAAGATAGCAATCACTCAGGCCGACCTAATTGGTTACGTGATACACTGGCTAAATAATGAAAAAGCTCAACAAAGGGCGGCGCAGGATAAACAAGCGAGTTTTACCCGGATCATTTGTATCCACCTGCTTCCATATTATAACATCAATATTCAATTTTCATGCGTGCGAAATTGGATAGGCACACATGACAATGTTTTCCAATTATACTAAAATACATACACAAGCCACATAAAATCTTGCTTGACAAGATGCGTTCTCGACCTATTCGCAAATCCACAGACTGAAATCGAAACGCAATTAACTTCGCAGCTGTTTCATCCGGGAACGGTAGTTAGTAACCCGGGCAGAATTTAGGTCTTGCTATCACCGATTTAATATCCAGATTTCCAGGCGAAGTCCAACATATTTAAGGTAACATGTTGGACCTAGTGGGAATTTACATTACCATATACAGTAGTGTAGGAGTAGATATAGCGGGTTTGAATCTTGTTTTTGTAGTTATATTTTTAGTTCATTTCTAGGTACAGTTAAAAATCTATTTAGATTGAAAAAAAAATACGATACGGCCTTGGCCCTGGCTTGAACCCTTCAGGATTGAGTCGAATATCAAATTGAACTCGCGCGTAAGTCCCGGCCAAATCGTTATTTAACTTCAATATCCTAGTTTTGTACTATACATAACGCCATCACGTACAGTCATATGAATAAGTAATAGAAATAGTTGTTATATACCCATACTAATTTATAGATATCTTTTTGTATTAAAAATGTTCAAGAATTTCAATACACACTCTACGTTGAAGTGTTTCACTCACGTTTTGTCGTACGATACAAGATTATAGGCTCTTATCCCACGTTTAACTCTGAAGTGGACAAAGTACAAAATCCTCTACGGAAATTTTCCTCCGATCCCGCTTAAAATGAAAGCACTTCGCAGCGCTTTGTCGCTGTCTTCTTAGTCGTCATTTATGCTCGATTGCTTATGAAACTCTAATAAATTTTATAACGTTTCAAAATAGCGTTTGAAATACTTGGAAAAGCAATTTTCTGGTAAACTATTAGATATAAGAACATAAGTTAGGTATAAAATATTGTCTGTAATAATTACGCGACTTTACAATCAAGTAAAACACTTTTACGATACTGTCTATAGTTTAGCGAGTAGTACACATTTAAATAAAACACTTTAACGGTTTAAAACGCGATATATAGTAAACTTATTTGAAAATATTTTCAACTGGCCCACGTTTCGGATTTTGAGAGGTGTAATTAAGTCAAAGCATCCGAAACTGCAATTAAAACATTTTCAAATAAGTTTAACTAAACGCTTAAACCTTAATAAAACTTTACATTTAAAACGCGACCCCCGTGACCACGGCTCCTGCATCGTATTCGAAACGACGTTTGTAGTTAAAACATTCTTGCGAGTTTATCTTAAAAGAGAGGCAATATATTGCCTCAGACATTTTTTGGGTAATACGAATAATTATTTTTTATAGCTTAGCTTATAATCTTCCACGATAAATGGTCCAACAAACACAAGATTTTTTCAATTTGAATCACTATTTTTTGAGATTAACACGTACAAACAAATATTAGTATAAAATTTGTACAGATTGCATTAAGGTACAGTAATTAGACGCGATTAAAAATATGAAAATTAAATATAAAAAATAGAGCTTTACTGTCCCCATATTGAAAAATAATACTTACAATCAGCCATTTCTTTCCATCTCGGGCAAAGACAGGCGGCTTATCTGGCAGCGTCCCAGCCCCGGGTGTAGGCAAGGCTTTAGCGGGGGCGCCCCGCGAAGCCGCCTTGAATGGCGCCGGACCCTGTCGCAACTGCGGATTCTTGTGGGTTTGCATTTCAGACGTCACTTTGCGGAGGTCTGAGGTCAGAAACATTAGGGTTTACTCATGGGATAAAGGTAATTGTTCTTTGAAAGTCTTATAGTAAACCTATGTTATTTTTAAAGTAATGTCTGTAGTTTACGCGAGGTGTAAACATTTAAATAAAACACTTTTAACGGCTTAAACAAAAAATGTTATTAGACATTCCGTTATTCACTGTGGGGCATGGGGCGAAAACATATGTGTCCGTTTCATTTATCGAAAATAAGACAGTTTAAAACACGAAATAAATAAGTTAACATATTTCAAATTTATTTTAAATATGGTCCGACGTTTCGGATGCTTTGCAGCAGCCGAGTTCACGGGGGCAGTTCCGTCCGTGACTTGGGCAGCTTTAAAATAAATTGTAAATAAGTTATATATTTCGTAAAATAAATGTATTTTACATTTTAAACCGTTAAAGAAATTTAAAAACAATATTTGTTTTAAAGAACAATAAAACTTGATGGTAAGTCAAGTAAAGTATCTTAGGCCATTTACGATGCTCTGTCGAGTTATTTCTCTTTATAAAATTCTGATATATAAAAAAATATGTAGATGCAAAGCATCCGAAGCGTCGGGTATTGCCCGTTAAAATAATTTATTTATTTATTTTATTTATTTACACTTTATTGCACAAAAAAAATTACCAAAAATATAAACTTATATACTAAACATATACTTTAATAAGTTTAACTAACACATTTTGCGTTTAAAACCGTTAAGTGATTATTTTTTCTGGTATGTGTTAAATATGAAACCCAAATTCGCATTTTGTATACACGACAATCTACTTTACTACTTAAAATATTTACTTTAACATAGAAACAAAACCAGTCTTTGCGAGCCAGCCTCGTAGGGTTCGTAATACAAAAAGTTACTATCTGATTTAGATTATCCCTACTTAACAATATTAAAACTTTCCCGCTGTTACAAATTATGGAATATTCTCTTTGAAGCATCCGTAAAGTTTTAGTTAATCGAAAACATTGACTTTGCAAACATTTCAAACATTCGACATGGTTCGTGCATTAACTTAATTGGTTAAGTTAAACGCCCTCTTCAATGATTTTCAAGTTTATAATAACAAGTTTTTACTTTGTATTCAACGCGATCCTAAATTCATAACCCAGGCAAAAATATAGTTTTGATCAGTCATTTTACTTCCCTGTAAATAAAACCAGTGAAACGGACTCAAAATAACCCCATACCCCGTAGAGGGTAAGCGGAATTTCACTATAACAAAGCCGTCTGGAATATATATACCACAGAACTAACAATAGTTGAAAACAAATATTGTGTATACAAAACTATACAATGGTGTATGGTCTCCTGTACATTATTTATAGAGTCAGAATAGTAAAGCTATACATAATTTACGACTGCAAAACGTGTTGATTCAATGTTAATTTATTTATGACTCAGTCCTAAGCTGATAGAAGGTTTTGTATTTCGTGTAGTTGGAATAGAATTTACCGTGAAATAGGAGTAAGTATTCCATTGTGCCTGCTATACTCCTTACTCAGTAATTTCTTTAGCTGTGTGTTACTTTCGGTGAATTCTTACTAATTTTATAAATGCGAAAATAACTCTGTCTGCCTGTCTGTTACTCTTTCACGCCAAAACTACTGAACGCATTTGAATGAAATTTGGTACACATATGGTCTAGAGCATAGGGTACTTTTTGTGGCGAAAAGGGGTTTGGTGTAGGAGTGATGTGAGGTGAGAGTATTGCGGCAAAGTAGCAATTACAACATAGATTGACTGCGACAAATGCGCAATTACATGAATTAACAAACAGCCTAAATAATTAAAAATTCTACCCCGAGTCACTATTCCAAGCGAACGAAGTCGCGGGCACAGATAGTAATATATAAAATAGGTAGAACAGATGGGAGTCGAACCCACGAATCAATTGCTGCATAGACACATATTTGAGAAATTAAAATAAAACACTTCAACGGTTTAAAACGCAATGTATATTAGTTAAACTTAGTTGAAATTTATTTTATCTACGGCCCGACGTTTCTGATGCTTAGCAGCAGCCGTGGTCAAGGTAAACCGTTAAAGCGTTTTATTTGAACGTGTACTATTCGCGTAAGTACAGAGAATAATTAATTGATAAATTATCAATTTATATTTAAAACAAGTCATATATTAACAACCTTAACATGTCTTTCATTGATTTTTTGCAAAACTTAGATTAACAAAAATGTTCGACCTAGTAGGGATTCTCGACGTTCTGTCATCACGAGTGGGTGACATCACGAGACGCTTCTATCGTCGTCACCATTTCTAAATTACGACAGTCGAAGAAGTCGAAAAGCTGCGTAATCATGTATGTAACCTATGTATATCATTACTTTTTGTCAATTTCAAGTACGACCCGACGAAAATTTTATTGTAAGGCTTACATAACCATAATATAGTGAATACTGGTATAGGTGCCACCGAGTCTCGACATTAGTACTTTATAGATAATAAAAAGTTTCGCCAACAAAACAATAAGTAAGGAACGTACTACTAGTAATGGCCTCGCCCCGGTTGATCTCGGCGAAAAGTGCGCTGCGGTCGTCCACGGAGAGGTTGGCGAAGTCCGCCTCAGGCAGTGGTGGGGGTGGGGGCAGCCCGCCGGGTGGTGGTGGAGGTGGGGCGCCACCCTTTCCTAAGAGATAGATAAAAACATTCGTCAGTTTATCCATATCATGTATATCAAACACTACATAACTATTTTAGTAACGGAGAAAGACAGACTGGGGTGCAATTGATGATTGAAGTATCCCAAACAAATAAGTTCGAACTAAAATGCGCCGTCTACCTATATTGGCTTTGGATATCTGTGGATCAGCACCACTATAATATCCAGATGATGTCCAAACCGTTTCACAATAATCATAAAACTATTAGAAACATATTTGGACCCCGTATCGAACTTAAGATTTTTAGCATTGCTACCATTAAACGTTTAAAATTTATTTAATTTACACTGCCTCGAGTATTGCTTGTATGTACCGAAGTTCAATAGTTAATAGATGGTTGTCTATCAAGACGTAAATATCGTAATTTCTTAAATTTGAATCCTAGGAAAACACTAAATTGTGTCCGATCAATAACTAGCCTGGAAATAAAGTCAAACACTGAGCTGGACACAGAAATATGTTTATACAGAAAATATGTTTTGCTATTTGCATCATAACTAACGGACTGTTAACTGTTAACAAGTAAGATATAGTACTTTTTAATTAAGTCTTTAAATAAGGATATATAAAAAGAGGGACTAGTAACTCAGTCGAGTCAAAAATGCATTATAATAAAGTCTTAGCTTATAACTTAACGGAACTAATCTACTTCGTCTTATTTTTATTGCCACATTTTCCGAAGAACCGTACGCCGCGATGCATTAATTTTTAATAAGCTAGAACGGCGAGAGACTGTTTCAAAAGAGGCCTTAAATAATTGAAAATAAATATCCCCAGTGTGCTCTCTAACCATGTATTTCATGGTATTTTAACCGTATATAAAAATCCCAAGTTCATTAGTAGGAAAATTAGTCTTCCATTACACACACATAAAAAACACATTACACATGTCTATAATATGTTAGCTTCAGACAAGATGATAGTTCCGTTACGAAGTTGCTAATATGTAGTTATGTCTGTAAAATTATAAACCGGCTATTTTAAAGCTATGGAATACGTTACTTTTGATTAAAACAATCGAATTATACAAGTTAATGCAAGCCAGTAAGTATCATTGTTTATACGTCGTGGATCGGGTGTCGTGTGTTCGAATTCCGCTGGTGTCATGACATTTTTTTATAAAACATGTGTAATATTCCAAATTACAAACCCGATCATTGTTTCAGAATAATTATAATCCTTCCAAATTTAGATCTTCGAATTAAAATACCGCCATATTTAATGTCTATACCGTATATTTGGTAAATATCACCACATTCTTTCGACTCGTCAGAAATATTGCTGTCTAAAATCGGCACAGTATTTTAATCGTTAGAGTTGAACACATACAACAACGTTAAAAACGTTATCCTTCCTTATAGCTCCGCCGTTGTGGGGGTAAAAACCCCGATTACTATACCTCGAATAAAGATGGCCTAAAGAAACGTACGACGTGTGGTTAATTATCGTAGCAGCTAAACAGCTTATCTTATTGCTGCAAATAAAAAAGATAACGCCATGTTGTGTTCACGGCTAATATCACAGTGAATCGTCGTTTAATCAGTTAAAAAATATAGCGTTTCTAGAAAGTATTAAGTGTAGCGTAGAGCAGTGAACAAACTTATTAGTTAATGACGCGATAAAACATTAGTTCATTTAATTAGCTTAAGGGGAAAATATTAACTAATTTACAAATATGATAATTTCGACAAATACAAATTACTAGTTGTCCGTAATTTAGACTAAATGTTAAGTTATGTGTGTTTATGCGAGTACTACACATTAAAGAAACACTTATAACGGTTTAAAACGTGATTTGTATTAGTTAAACTTTTACAAATTGTTTTACCTATTTCTCTCCTAGTGACCCGATTCCAGGTTTCATATCTATAATATAAGTTTAACTCAAACATTTCGCGTTTCAAACTGTTAGAAGTATTTTATGTTTTATGTTGTGAAATTAAAACAAAAAATCTTCTATCGCTTAGATGATTGTTATTACTTATATTTTCAATCAACTGTGTTATATGTGGTTTGGCCAGTATTTAATTTTGTTATTTCTTTATTTATTTTAGTTACGATGGCGAACAATTATAGGGTTTAAATGTTGGAAGGTGAAATTAGTTTATCTAATTCGATTAAAATATGCTATCGACCTTTTTGCCTATAAAAATTTGATACCATTATTTCTTTAGATATTTCTTTACACCATTGTCTTCACGATCTGAAAATTTGTTCTTCTATCTATCGAGATTTTCGCTAATATTAATATTTTCACAAGTAAGTATCAACTTAAACATCTTTTAAGTTAAAAAAAAATGCTGTAATCATCGTTTAGTTTATTAGTTTCCTTTCATTTGATACCCATATTGAGGGGGTTAAGGAAAAATATGTAATCCGCCATTTTGTATCGGCGGCCATCTTGGATTTATAATGTTATTGTTTTTATTATATTGTATTGTCATTTAAATTAAATGTGTGTACCAAATTTCAGGTCAATCTGACAACAGGAAGGGAAATTTCAATTTCTAATTCGGACCGAAATAAATAAATTCCGTACGGGTCGAGCTCAAGCTACCTTTTAAAAATATGACACGGGCGGGTCCTGAACCAGCAACCACAGCTTTTCTAGATTTTCCAGACGCTTTCTAATATTTTAGAAACATGTTGGGTGTATGCAAAATTCGACGATGACGTGTGGGACACGGTAGAGCAACACGGAACGCTGTGGATGCCAGTTAGAGTCCTGCCCGTGTCGTATTTTTTTTTAATCCTAGAATCATTTTTAATTTATATAAATCTATTATATCTAGCATATTTCCGACCTAAAATTTAAATGCGATTTCAACGGCATAAGTTACACCGTACGACCTAGCTGTTTGCGCGTTAATTTCTGAAAACGTTCTCTAGCGTTTCATGCTAATTACTTTTGCTTATTCATAAAACAACTAAGCCGGAAAACTGTTGCTGAAGAGAAAATTTTTAATGGCTTTTCCCGCACTTTAATTAAACTCAACTGAGTGTTTATTCGGCCCGAGAGTCCTTATATATTTTTGTCGACCTATTATAATGATCAAAGGTATTTAAGTTTTGTTTTAAATAAAGTTAACAAAATAACATCTATATGAATGACGTAATCGAGAATAAAACAATACTTAGTAAAAACTAAATCTATGACGGGCCCGTAGCCTAATGGTAGCAATGTATGGCTATTAGGTGGTCGTGGATTCGATCCCAATCAGGTCCAACACATTCCTCGTCAATTTATAGTTTTTCTGAAACATGTTGGACTTTAGACATCTGGATATGGAATCCAGGTTATGAACCACCGTCCACAGATGAATAGCCGTAAAGTTTAATCGCATAGCGGCTTCAGTCTGTAGATTTCCGAATAGAAAAATTTTGCGATGTTTACGTCTTGGGTATTTTACCTTCCAACGAGTGAACTCCATAGTTATCTGTCCTTCTTTCTCATTAAAAACAAATTGAAAAGCTTGAACTGAGTACTCCAAACACAACACTACAATGGGGCAGATTCAAATTCCGCCTGTATAAATTTAGCGTGTCATATCTTAATTATTGACTCAATATAACCACTCAAATAGTGAAATTTATTATTTAAATACTCCACTCACCAGACCAGACGAGTCCAGTCGTATGGTACTGCTTCACGTACGCTTGCAGGTCAGAAAGCAGCTGAACCCAGTTGCGACACCAATCAACATGGGTCTTGTCCTTTTCCTTCCAGTCCTTGAGCACGCGGTTCGTATAAAACTGGCCAGCGTCGTTCATCTCTTTGACATACGGCGCCGGTGTGGGAGACACCGCCACCCACCCTAAGGCCGGTATACTTTCAGAGATCGCTGATAGGTGATTGAAGAACGTCGACGCTCTGTTCTTCTCCCGGAACTGCTGGATCGCGGAGATCTTCTCGCTGGTGGGCGCCAGGAGTTGCATCTCTTCCGATTGGGATGGCTTGCTTCGTGACGTGGCGAGTTGAATGTAGCCGTATTGAGCCCTGTACAGTGGTAAGTAACTTACATACCGCCTGTAGTTTATGGGAGTAGTACACATTTAAATAAAATATTTTGACGGTTCAAAATGCGATATACATTGGTTAAACTTATTTAAACTTGACGGGCGGTAACGGGATATTTTCGGATAAGTTTAATTAGTATAAATCGCGTTTTAAACGGTTAAAGTGTCTTATTTAAAAGTAACCTCAATACCGATTGTGTAGCTAAATGATGGTTGAATGTGTTGCTTAGTATCGAGCTAAACGAATGCTCCTTGGTTTGAATCCCAGGGAAATAATTGTTTCGGTCGGGCAGGGCGCAGTCTGATCAGACTACTTGCTGTAAAAGAACTGATCAGTGGAACAGACACAGATATGTGCTCGTTACATGCCCCACGAGGATAAACGAGATTTCACTTTTCCCACGTCTCAAGTTAGAAATTATATATCTGGTGGGAACATCGATTATGTTTACAGTCTAGGCTATGTGTCATTCTAATTCCTAGAAAGTGGAGCAACTTTCCTGGGTATTCTAACTGATGATTAGGTATCCGAAAGTTGAAGTACAGTCTACTTAGTCATCGCATTATACCAATATCTTCTTTATCCGTTTAAAAATACGTTACATAAACACACTTAGCGTAGAACTTATTAAAACACGTATTCAGGTCGAATAAAGAATCGCGTTCTAAATTTAAAAATCGTACTTAAATACGCGACCGGCACAAAATGTAGTTCGAAACTCAAAGAGCTTCCACATCTCGTTAAGAGTGAACTTACTGAAAAGCTTCGTTCACGAGGTTAGCGTGTGTGGCAACATCGCCGCCGATTTTCTTCGACAGCTCCAGGTAAGCACGCAATGGCCCCTGGAAAAGACATTACTGTTAATACTTGCAGTATTACTGAGGGAAGAAATATTAATAAATAATATAATCAAATAGAACTTGGCGATTAAAGGAGTGGCGGCGAGTTTCTTGCCAGATCTCCTTCGTTCTACGCCAGATTTAAGAACTGGAAGTAAATGTAGAATCTTTAGTTTTTAACGAGTGAGATGTTCATAAATGTACCTACTACGCGAATAAATGATTTTCGATTTTGACTTTGAAAGAGTAGTCTACGAATAACAATACTAAAAGTGTACTTTATTACTAAACCAAATCGAAAATTCAACAAAAATTTGTTCTCCGGGGCAATACAGAAACTCAAAAACAAATTTATCAATTGGAAAACAGGCTTCCATTTGATGCGCTTGTTTTTGTAAGCAACGAGAAACTAGAATGCATTTCAATTTGAAACATTTCGCCCGGAATTCTTTTTCCTTTTTCTCGTTTCACGAACTTTTCAATCAAAAACGTATAATTATGCGTTTACCCACTCATAGTATAGGAGTAGTAAGATAAAATCATTACATTAATAAATTTAAAAAAAAGAAAAAGAATAAAATTCCTTCATTAAACAAAATATCTTTACTTCAACGGTAGCGATAAATGTCTAATAATTAACGGTTTGTAGTTTAGATTCCCACCAAATCCATATATTTGCCAGCCAACTGGCCGGTTCAACAATATATACCGCGTTTTAAACCGTTAAAGTGTTTTATTTAAATGTGTACTATTCGCGTAAACTCAATTTCTTTTAATTAAAAATACGATTGAAGACACGATTAAATACAGGCTTATAATTTAAAGCAAAAGCATCAAACAACAAAGTGCTCGAGTCTCGCTAAAATTCTCTGTAATTTATAAATAACAAGGTACGATGAAAACAAATCATCAAAAGCTATTAATTGAATTGGTACGAACAATTTGAATGAAAAGAGCGTGACGTCATCGACAGATTAGTGAATGGTATCAAGTGACAGTATGCGTCAACGGAAATACTAAATACTAAGTATAATAATATAACGTATTAAAACAAGCTGAGTCCCATTACTACTTAACAATACACTCGCCCATAGTCAAATTGCTTTGGCTGTAGGAATGCGCCGGCCGGTTTCCTTCTTTAATATAACTCATTAAAACAAAAAAAAGGGCCACCCCCCCCCCCCAAAAAAAAAAAAGAAAGAAAAGGGTGGGGGGGGGTTTTTTTCCCAAAAAATAAAGGGGGGGGGTTTTTTTTGGGCCTTTTTTTTTTTTTTTTTTTTTTTTTTTTTTTTTTTTTAACAAATACTTTTTTTTTTTTAAAAAAAAAAAAAAAAAAAAAAAAAAAAAAAGGAAAGCTTTTTTTTTTTTTTTTTTTTTTTTCTTTTTTTTTTTCTAAAAAAATTTTTTTTTTTTTTTTTTTTTTTTGGGGGCGAAATTTTTTTTTTTTTGGTTTTTCCCCCAAAAAAAAAAAAAACCGCCAAAAGGGCCGAAAACCGAAAAAAAACCGAATATTCGTTGCAAGTCTAATTAAAACCTTTGCACATCGCATACAATGAGATGCAATAAAAACTAGGTTTTATATTTTACATCGTACTCGCTGTTTCAGCGACTTCGCCCACGTAGAATAGTTATTTGCGGCATCAAAATTTTAAAGTCCAAAATCTTATAAATTTAAGCTGCCTACCACATCGGTCGCGTCCCGTCGCTCGCGGCCCATCGTTTTATTTCCAAAAAAAAATCCCCCGTTTTATTCATATTCCCGCTGTATCTTCGCTTCAATTAGTCACAGTGCGATATTTATAGCCTTCCTCGATAGATAGCTCTAACCAAAACAAAAAAAAATCAATTCGAACCCATAGTTCCTGAGATTAGCGCGTTAAAACGAACAAACAAACTCTATATATTAGTATAGATAGATACAAGTACCGAAAATGTAAATCGTTATTCGAATACAATGGTGTGCAAAGTAATCGCGGCTTTACGTTTTATCGCTTTTCCGGCTCGTTTCTTTACACAAAGAGCTTTTCAGACTGTATCAATATTAAATATAGTCTGTAACGTTTTATGCAAAATGGTTGTGCAAACTCTAAAGAGTTTAAAATGCGTTAAGTTAAATTTTAGTAGATAATTACAATTTGATTCTACTACTTTTTGGTATATCCACATGATGGAAGATGAAACTCCCCAGCCATACAACATTTAAACTAAATGCGCTGCCGCCCTATTTTGGTTTTGGATGTTCGGAAATCCTCAGACTGAAATCGGAACGCAAATTACTACATTACTTTTTATTTATGTGGATAGTAGTTCGTGACACAGACGGAGCTTCGACGTTCCTACCACCCATTTTATATGAAGATTTCCAGACAACGTACAACATGTTTCAGAAATTATAAATTGAAACCAACGAGCTCAAATTGTTTCTGCGACGTACCGATAAATTTTAGAGACAATACAGCGGACCCCCTACAAAAACAGTAAAATGTTTACCCTGAAAAATTAAGAATTCCTGCGTAAAGGAGATAGATTCTAAAAACTGGTCTGTTCGTTTTACGAGCATTTAATAATAATAAAAAGTAAATGTTACGAATTCGAATGCTTAATAACACTCAACTTAACAGTATACGCTAACAAACAGGGCGCCACCAACGAACAATAAAATAGTCATAACAAAGTAAGCGACACAAGTCAACAACTTTGTTTATATTGGAGAGGGGGAAATTGATTGGCATATTTCCTGCTAAACAACGGGCGATCGCCACACCACAGACAGCGGCAAGTACCTTTGAAACTACTGTTTTACTGCGAGTCAATATTCCGTTATGGGATCTCAATTGCTAATATCGAGGATGAAATAAATATGAGGTACGACTTTATCTTCTTAACGTCAACATACACAACAAAGTTTTTTATTTATGTTAAAAATTCGGTTTTACCTTTAAATTTAACACTTCATTACTATTATGCAGCCAGATGGAGGGCGTCTCAAACGTCAAAGCCAAATCTGCTACGCTAGTGCCATCTGTTTCGCCGTAATTGATATTAGGAGAAACTAGATATGACCTTACTGACTAACAGTGACCTGTTGCTTTTTTCACTAATTATTTATTTATTTTCTACACCCAACTAGTGAGTTGGGTTAAGAAATTCAATCTACAATAACGTATACAAACTACTAGTTTACTACTACTACTTCCAAGGATTCTTATTAGCTTTTTAAAGAGTTAAACATTGTTGTTTCGTCATAAACCAGGTAAAATATGAAAGCATCTAAACTAAACGTGCTAAACAACTAACCTGTAATATATCTTGATAGCCGTTAATACTCATGTTGTCAGTTGGAACCAGCTCGGCTTGAGGTGGTGTGACGACGCACACAGGTGAAGAATCAGGCAGGGGACTCGGTACGCGGTCGCCCAAACCAGGCAGGCGTTCCAGGCGAGACGTAACACGCTCCAAACGCTCGATCAAAACCTCAAGATCTGAAGCTGGGTTTTGGGCTGACGAAGCTTCGTTGCCTGAAACAAACATCGAATTATATTCTAGAACGTACCATAATCTGATAGCTGCTATCGAAATATTCAGACAAAAAAAATCCATTCAGAAATTTCAAAAACAGAATCGAAATTAAATTTCTTTAAATAAGATGAATCGTAAAAGTGGAAACGACGGTTATTTTGCATTATTAGGCCGCGTTTTTATTAAATAAATAAGAAGAGGGAACCCGCTTTCATTTAGAAATTATGAAATGTTCCCTTTTACGTCTGAAAACTTAAGTCGCCTACTAAGATCATTAAAACTCGAAGGAGTCCGGAGATATTTTGTACCGGGAAATTACACCGCCTTTGAATCATTAAATCTCTGCTAACGAACAATTTTAAAATTGGAATGGTTAATTGAATTTCGAATTGTGATTTTTTCCGTTAAACATACCATTAATGTTACCACTATCATAGTCTGGAGTGTTGCGTACGAGTACATCGTTAACAGCGCCCTCTCCATCTTGAGGAGGGTTTTTATCGCGTTTCTCAAACAATTTAATTAGACTTCTCATGTTCTTCGCGTTCCCTCGCTCCATACTAAGACAATCCATATAATTTTGGCGAAAACACAATAACACTCGAAAATTAACTGCCAACCAACTGATACTGATTGAGCACTATCATTAAATGACTAAGCCACAAGATACGGGCGACGCGATAATGGCTTACGCAGAAATACAAAAGTGATGATAAAGTAATCAGCAAGAACTTGATACTATCCGGTAAATTGATGCATTGAAGACAATGTTGGTAGCTTAACGTACATTTTATTTTGTTTTATGACAGATTAACATGTTTATTTGATGGAAGGTAAAATACCCCAGCCATGTAACATCTCAATAGGATGTGTTGTAAATTTTTGGCTTGGGATATTTGTAAATCCACGGACTATACCGGAATAGGATTACGCTTTGAAAATCTTAAATGGATTTTTTGGAAGCTTGTTGGACCAGGTGGTAATTGAGCACGAACATACACTGAGCCAACGATCCCATTAACTCCGTAGCTGGCTAACTAACATTCCGTAAAAGTAGAATTATGCAGGACAAAAATTGTATCGTGGATTCATTGATAATTCTTAAAGCAGGACGGTTCAAAAATAAGATTTCCAGTTATATGAACAGTCCTAAACATGACAATATGAGCTTGGCACTTTGTCAAAACCTATTCTTGAGGTCACGAATGAAATGATTCCAGAAATACTACAGCTTTTAACAGTCTAACGGCAAATTAACTGTATGTATTAGATATAATGATGTCATTATAGATTTAATGTATAATGTAGTTAAAGTATTTAAAGCTTTCTTATAAATATCTTAGTACTATAATAAGCCACTACCTTACACTTCCTTACGGATTAACTTATTTATAGAAGACTTTATCTCATAAGCTTTTTTTTGCATTTACAATGAGATTTACAAAACAAAGAAAAACATTGATCCTGCCTCTAAAATTTTGGTTATCATTACCAAATTACGGACATGGCTCTTTGAAGCCCACTAACCCTGAAACATCGTGGTATTCCTTAAACACTGACGAACTATTAAAATAATATCTCCGCATATCCAAAGCCGATATAGGTCAACAGCGCGTGTTGTTTAGATGTTGTATGGCTAATGTATTTCACCTTCTATTTAGTGAACCTCGTAGCTGTCTGACCACCTCTATATATATATATATATATATATAGGCATATTATGTCCGCTAGCGTTTTCTTTAAAAGTTTATATTTGAAAGCAGCTGTTAACCATAATCACCATTGTACTCATACTTATTTTCGTAACGCTGCATGGCCAAGGACGGTTCATATGACTAACGTCCTTACGTAATTCTGTTTACGAACACATTCCAGCTATCACTGCATAGTTTCACATAAAAAGAGTAACAAATTTTTAGTTTTCAGCTACATACTGATTTCTAAAAATATTCTAAATACTGTAATTTCACAAAATAAATGGATTGGCTTAAGAATTTTGTTTAACTCTGTATCATCATACAATACAATATTAAAGTTTCTCGTTTCCCCCTGTGGGCGATTACATTTGAGTCCGTTTCACTGATCCGTTTGATTCACAGGCAAGTAGTTGATCAGATTTCTGTGCCCAGACAAACGAAACAATCTATTGTTTCCCCGGGCTACGAGCCCAAGACCTCGCGCTTAAAGCAACGGTAGGCAACGCCTATCACTTGGTGTGTTATAACGAATGCGTATTAACTGTGAGTATATTATTAAATAAAAACAATAAAAAATGTAATGTGACGTATATTAAAATCATACAATCTATATACGACTATTATAAAACTGAACAATTTGTTTGTTTGCCTGTGCCAATCTATGTGTTTTGGATAGACGATTTATCGAGGAAGCCTTGATATTACGTTTATACAGCATTACGCTGCCACCTATAGGCGAAGAAACAGATGGAAGGAAATGTGAAAAAAAAAACGGGAAGAATTATTTATCGATAAGGACCTTCGTTGTTTAGTTATGTATAAACGGATTATTCTTCTTTAAATTATCTAATAAATGTCCGCGACAGCATGACTCTATCTTTTAAGATTAAATTCTTATCTTTTAACCCTTTTTATTGTTATCAACTTTTGGTCGAAATACTTCATATGATAAAGGAACGTTACCCAGGTCAGCTAGTACATACTTTAACTGACGAAAGTTCTTGGCTTCATCCAGCTCTGCCGACTTTGTGTTAAATGAAGAATATATTCTCTACAAAACTAAATATGAACTCCACAGCGCGTATTAACCACACCTACTAACAATATATCAAGTTAATTCACTATCTTTGTCCTAAAACAGTAGTTAACCGCAGAAAGGTAATACCGGCATCAACCACAAACCGATTCTATTGTGAAAAGGGAACGGATTCAAAAGTTTTAAGTGCCTTACTGTATTTAAATATACATCAACTAAAGTCTAAAGGCTGGGCCACGTTGGTGTTTGGTTAATCAATAATTAATAAGGGCATATATAGTAATAATTCAAGGGCGGTTACACTTTATATTCGAAAACATTTACAATATTATTTTAAAGTTATTGTACTGTAACCGAGTCACCTTTAAAAAATTCACATGTATTTATATAATGCATATAATTTATGCATTATATAATGTATAAATTAAAAATCTATTAACATTGGAAAAATATTACGACACGAACGGGTGTTGAACCTTGAACTTTCTTTTCAATTTATATAATGCGAGTCTCCTCTACTCACTTGAATCAATCACTTTAAACAGATTAAAACGCGAAATGCATATAGAAATATTAACTTATTTTACCGTGCCAAAAATTTGGATTTTTAGCAACAGTCGTGGTCACCGGTAGAGAACAGAGATACATATTTCGTATATTACCAGCGACCAGCCCCGACTCCGCTCGGGTGCAATGCTGATACTCAATACACGACAGAAAAACTGTGAATGTAGTTTTATATTATATATCGTGTTATAAACCGTTTTAAAAGTGTTTTATTTAAATGTGAATGTAGTGTAAAAACCTTCCTCTTGAATCTATTAAAAAAAAACTGCATCAAAATCCGTTGCGTAGTTACGTAAGCGTACATGGGACAGAAAAAGACTTTGTTGTTTATTGATGTATCATTGTTCTGTTCGTAAATACTTCGAATACAACAATTAGCTATTTTACGATCATACGAAAAATGTACCGCAGGTTTAATCAGCTTTATTGCAATAGTATGCAACTTTACTTTAAAGGCAACTTGTTCGCCAGATGTTACTAAGAGTTTCACATCGTGTACTAGTATCTTCCATAATTGGAAGGTAACATAACAATGCTACTTCAATAGATCTTTGGAATCAAGTTATATGTATGTCAGGTACAACCTTCGGTAGCCAATTAAGGCAGACGGGCGAATATTACTGAGTGCTGGGTGAGATGGGCTTTTAGCTATTACTTAGGTAATTAAGACTAAAATTTGTTAGATTTTTTACTTGTGCGTACATACGACACACATTAAGAATGTAATTAGTCACTTTAAACGGTTTAAAACAAACGTTTTAGTGAACAGCACTAGCCATAGCCACAGGCAGGCTACGAGGTTTATTAATGGAAAGTGGTATCTCACTTTCCAGCCATATGGCATCTAAACAAGTTATCATATCGACGTGATTTGAATTTTAAATATTCGGAAATTACAAGGCAGTTTTTTCATCTGTGGACTGTGGTTCGTGAACCGGACGGATTACGATTTTTCTACCACACATTTAATATCTAGGTTTCAGACGTAGTCCAAAATGTTTCAGAGAAATTATAAATTGATTAGAAACTTGTTGGATTAATTACATTGCTACCATTACACGAACGAGTGCGTCACATTTTTAAATACATTTACGCATTATCTGTATGTGCATGGATTTTTATAAAATACATGAAATCTAGTTATAGTAAACAAATTTATATAGATTTAATTATTATATTAATAAATGTGACCCTAAGTAGTGGATCAAACCTCATAAAGTTTTAAGAGCAATTTCTTAAGCTGTACAGCACAAGATCTAAGAAGATCGTTCGTTAGTATAAGCTTCGTTCTAAATCCGTGGTAAAATGTATTAGATGGGAAACTTGCCAGTCAGGTCAGTAATATTTGAAATTAAAACACACATTTTAAACAAAATATCACTAGAGATACGCCGAATGTGAAAGGATGTGTCTGTCTCTCTCTCTTTATTAAAAAACGTTTTGAACAGTAAGCTCTTTTCGGCCGAACACTCGATTCCAATAAAAAATTGTGTCTAATTCTAGATACTGGTTTGTTTCTCGTATAAATTATAAATTAGAAAAAAAGAAGAGTTCGGAGACAAGGGCATTCAACTACCAAACTTTTCCCAGTGCATTAAGTATTTAATCGACATGATCGTAATTACGAAAGCCTAAATTGCTTAATACCAATTTGGTATAATATTCTCCATCTAAGTAAATTTGGGTTCAAGTTGTCGGAATACGGTTGAACCGAATAAAATGCCCTTTTTCGTACATCGAGGTCGACGATGTCACAGACGAACAGCGATACAGACAATACCATGTTTAATATACCGTGCTATTCGTCGCATCCTGTATAACAAATATAACAAACAATATAGGTAACAATCGAGATAAGTTTCTTATATTTAGGCAATATCTTAACGTTATAAACGCTGCACACGCTCGTATCAACGGGTCGTAGTTCGATTTTTACAGGGTCCGATATTAGTAAAGCAACGTTAAATGACGGGTTTTGGACGTCTAAATGTCCGATGCTAAAATAGCGCGTATTTTTTCGTTATTATATATGTCTAAAAACAGAAACGGTTACTTAGTAATCTTTATAAGCTGACCCCTTCGCACAATTAAACCTAAACTTGCCGTAAAACTGGATAGACCATAACGTCGAAAGCATTTTATAGCGCTCTGAGATCGACGCAAACATTTTGCACGATGTTAAATAGAGCTATGTTTTTTCCAGAACAAGTTTTTAAAAATCCATTTCTTATGCTAATCGTAATATAGAGTTGAATGACACCTTCCGAACAGGCACTCTATTTTTAAATGTTATTGTAATAAGAGCCAGTTATCAAATACAGCGTATGACTAATCTAATAAATTATATGGAACTCATTACATTAAAAATCAAACCGAAAACTTTCAAAGAGAAATGATAGTGATACGAAGGCACGACTCACCGTTTCTCGAACAATCCAAAACAATGCACAAAATTCACAAAAATCAACAAACCGTTATTGTTTCATGCACTGATAAAACGAGCACATAAGTGTATAATCGTGCGCTTGCGCCGGCTTCCACTGGCTGGCAACGAGAACGTCCGTCGACGGATGCTATGACTCAAAACGACCGTGTGTTGAGGCAAACGCGTCTCGATCTCTAGAAGCGCTATGGCTGAAGTATTATCATATGTTTGCTACATTGAACGCGTACATCGATGACTCACGAGTCATGATCATTTGTAATGATCTAATGACTCGAAACTTGTCTCGGTATTCGGAAATCAATCATACTGGTTTATACAAACATAGGGTATATAGGCTACAACATACTTTTTAAATGTAATAAACTTTATTTCGACCTTAACTCATTTCTTGGATTAATCATTTTTACTTCTCAAGGAAACTCCAAGTTCAAAAGTCGGAATAAAGTTTGAAACGGAAGGCAACTTTTGGAATAATTTCATACCGTTCTTTATGAAAAAGTTCTTTCGTATTGGAAGTAACGTAATATATAAGTTTAATTGATAATGTACCTGAATCGGCTACCACTGGCCCTAATGGATCAAATCTCACGCGGTGTTCCACAGCAGCTCGGGCAGCACAGACCAGGTCAGAAAAGAACCGGTGTCTTCTTAAGGCTAATTCATCGCGACCAACGGGAGTCGCCGGTGGCTCTTTGGGCCCCTCGGTATCCGTTGTTAACGACACATCCCTCTCAAATACATCATCATCACAGTCCGAATCATCTTTTTGAATCGATCGATGATCACCGAATTCGGAACTGCTTGCAGTGGATTTTAAAATCCCCGTAGACTTGCGTCTAGTAGGTCTCACGTCGACATTTGTCCGCGCCAACTCCTGCTCGAGATTAGCCAACTCTGCTAAAGTAGCCGCGTTTCGGGAACAATCTACAGAAAAACGCTTAAAGTCTAGTCGTGCTGCTTTTTTGTAATCAATGGAAAACCTTTTTTTAACATCAGGTTTAGTAAAAACATCATCTCCGCTGTCTTCATCCTCTTCAACTAATATTTGATTATCAGAAATGTTATCATGTTTAATTTCCTCTGTGGAGGAGCCTACGCCAGATGTTAATTTGCTGTCATTGACATTATCTGGGATACTATTTATCGGATGTGACACACTTTCTGTATCTTTAAATTCCAATTTCTCAGATTTCTCTTGAGCATGAAGGTCTTTTTCAGATTTCTCAACACATTCCTCGGGATGCACGCCATTTACAGATTCCATATTTGACAGTTTCGTTTTGTTTTTGTTACCTCTTTTATTCGGTCGCGCACAACAACTTTTAAACATAATTCTCAACTAAGACAGCTATAATAGAGTATATATGTGAACATACGATAAACTTCAAAGACTCAACATCAATAATAAGAACATTAATAAATAAAATTATATAACATTTTTAACAATATTTTGTGTTAGTTTATTTCAGCTTGTATGTCATTCAGTGATAGTCACAGACCAAGAAGGGTTATGTTGTCGGCGGCCGGCCGTACGCACGGCGGCGAACGACTGACGGCAGTGACGCAGGGCGAATGCGCCGCCCGCCCAGCGCATCCTGCCACCCTCGCCCCATCCGCAAAGCTCTCGAAAGCCCACAAATCTTTGTGTACATTGCATATTCCAAGCCAGAAAGTAATATTTAGGCCAAAGTAGCGCTTGCGTTTGAAAATAATGTTTCAAAGCACTTGAGGCAAGCAGAAAGTAAGTTCCAATTTAAAAGAATTTAATTTAATTATAACAATATTGAATACTGTATTGTAATCAAGACTACCTAAATATAAGAAATTAGCAAAAAAATTCAATTACTTCAAATGTTTAGAAATTTCTAATTCTGAACTAATTGAAGCTCTACAATCAGACTACACTTGCCTTTTGATGAGGTTTATCTTCAAGTCCATAATGGCCATGAACATAGGAGGATAAACATGAAACCACCAAAAATATTATAATAAATAATTTAATTTATTGAATTGAAATATAATGAGCAATCAAATATACAGACACCAATAGAAAAGTAATGCTTTGAATGTATTGATTCCTTTTTTTATTTCAATTACATTTCGTGTAATAAAGAGAGTGAAATCTTTATATAGAATAAAGATTTCTCTGCTTTGTATCATTTACACATAAAACATCTTTTTTGATGATATCCAATATGATAAGAAAACATAAACAACCATTTCCTTATCATCAACGGCCAAACAGCTTAAAATACCATATACCTTAAAAAGGTGTCAAACAAACCTAACACAATTATTTGTAAGATTATTTTTGTTTTAACAAAGAAATTATTATATATATAGATTATTATATTAGAGAGAGATAGATATTAGTCTAGTCACTCTCTTCTTTCTAGAGTATAGATAGATACTCTAGAAAGAGAGAGGCTAGACTAGAGAGCTTGTTATAAGTCCCTTGCTTGGACAAACAGAATAGGGACACCAAGAAATCAAAAAATATTAGACGAGTTAAAGTTAACATTGCTAAATGGATTGGTGATAGTATAGGAAGAGACATTTGTTTCAATTAATTTGGTTTTTAAACAAGCATTTATGCCTAACATTGTAAGTACTAACAAACTGTTTATAGAACAGAGACGGATGAAGAAACATTGTATAATTTGCAACACACAACCTTAGACTACTGTTGTAGAAAAATGTTTGGGACTAAGATATTATTTTCCACAATTGAAGGCTTTATGTATTTATCAAAATCTGTGTTTGTGTGTGTTGGATTTCGCTATACATGTAATTTTCTTACATTGTAATCTTGTCTAGTGAATTAATGAACACTTATAGTTCTAAATAATCTAATTACGCATAAGCCGGTGGCCTACATAGGTGTTAATTTATATGTCTTAACTTAATCTTTACATCGGCGTCCTAGCAGTTAAAATGTATATTTCATCATCTTCTGTTACAAACCAAAATATACTATATTCTTGGGGAGTCCGACATATAATAAAAACTTGATATGCAGATGTAAACACGATTAACAATAGCGTTTATTAATTATTCAACTCCAACGACTAAATAATAGGTACGCGTCTATTATTAAAAAACCCATTTATGTACAAAGCGTAAATAAAACAAACTTACCGGTACTTGATCAGCGCTTCAATTTCTTAAATAAATTATCATTACTAGCGATTTAACTGTTATAACTGCAAAAATTGTAAAAAATCAGTCTTCTGAAATTTAGTTTGTTAGGTTACTTGTCAAAACACAGTATATGACTCTGTCTGTTGTCAATGGTAGCGGTTGTCATGAGTCAATAATCGATGACGTAAAATTTTGGACCACAGATTAAAAAAGTAACGGTCAGTGTGAAACCATTTCTTTTGTTTCTCTTTTAAACAAGTATTGAATTTTATGCATTTTAATTTAAATACTTGTAAGAAATATCATGAATGGTTTCAGAATTTCTTTAATATCAATAGCTTGATGGTTTTCGTGGCCTTAATTATAGCGCATATACTATTAAAATATGTACCTTTCCTTTCACGTTGGTGATCGGATAAAAGGGTTTGAAAAAAAATTATTAAAAATAAATAACACAAGCTGGACTTTCTATACTTCAGATAAAATAAAACGAACCATTTATAAAAGATTTATAATTCACCTAATAATTACTACGCTAGAAGCATAAATCTACTTCCCAATTATGAGTACTAAAAAACAATCGTAAAATATGTGCTGAATATGCTGCATACAAAGGCACCAGTTATTAAAATATTAAGGTTGCCAGTGTTTTGTGACTTCGCTTAACTTAAAATTATGAAATTGCCTCATAAAACAGATACATAAACCTTTGTAAACTTAACAGATTCGTAACCTTTTATAACATTTTTGTTAAACAATAAACCGATTGAATATATATGCTTAATTTTTCTAAACACTAGTTACAAGTGTAAGACAGTTTAAATTATATCGTTTCGGGCGTAACCGATGGAATATATTTCTTAAAAATAATTAACAAAAACCCAATAAATCTACAGACTATCACAGACGAAACTAGTACAGAATAGGTTACATCAGTAGGTTACGAAATCAGTACATATTGAATTTACACTTGACATTTTAAACCGATACTGAAAAGTATTCGAGATGTCGGTCATGAATAGTTGACGATTTAAACTGTTAAAAAAATAAGTAGCCTTTTTCGATACAACTAATTTAATTAAGATATTATTTATCGACATAGCACTTAGTGCAAAGATATTTAAGTCTGCTTTTAAACAGTACATACAAAAGCTCCTATATTAGCTTAATCTATAAATGATAAAAAAAACTATTAAAGAAGTGTAATCAGAGGCCGTACTAGGCTAATGATTAAAAGCGTCATCAAATATCTATGTCTAGGTAATATAACAATTACAGATTATTGCTGGTGTTTAGAAAAAAAGTAAAATTATATCTTAACTAATATGTAGGCATAATCCTATAGTATAGTGCCAGTATACAGAAAAACACACAATACCATTTTTATCACCGAAATGCTACTAAGAAGTACTGAAAAGATGTATATCTTTTCAGTTGTTCAGTAATGCATATATAAATCGTACGATTTATATACGCATGACTTACTGATGATAAAGAATCCATTTTTAAATTGTCTATGGTCATTTATGTAATCGATAAAATAAATGTTTATCTGTGCGCTTGATTTTAATACAAATAGCATATTTGTATATTATTCAAGGAGGAGTTATAATTTCTTAATAAGAAAACATTATTATGCTCGATATTATTATAAAAATAATGTACTATGACCGAAAACTGGACAACTTTCTAAATCCTACGTTATGAATAAGGGTTTGACTCTACCATTACTATTTAAAAACTAATCATTTCTATTATGATTCCCTAATAAATGCATTTATCCCTTGTTAATGGTATGGAGTTCCTGATTTAAAGATGTCAGTACAAAAGTAAAAGGTTCAATTACATTCTTTAAAAAGGTTAAATAGCCAGTTAAAAATATATTCTTTGATCGAATTTAATTAGACGTATTATTAAATATACTTTTCTTAATAAATTTCGTCACAGGAACAAGTAGGTATTTTATACCTGTAATTTGAATTGTTGAAACACAATTATTCGTCATTGCTGACGGTTTTTGGGTTATTCTTCTTTCAGGATAGCTCGCCTATGGGAGCGTTTTGCAGCCACAGGTCGTGAATGAAGGTGTAGAGATCGTCGCTAACTGCGACCTGAAATAAAGAATTATCATCGTCCTTTACAAGAGGGGTAAATGGCTATATAATAATGAGTTTGCTGTCCATATCAAAAAAAAAACAAGCCATATTCAAATACCTGGTGTCAAATTTAATAGACAGTAACTGTTTTTCGAAATATATATTTTTCTATAAAAATATAATAATAAATTGATATTATTATATCAATATTATTATTATTTGTTAATGTTATGAACATTTTACTTAATTTTGTAATGGAAGTATTAAACTGTTTATTTATGACTGACACCCCAACTAGACCATTTGAGACGACCATAGTAAACGATGAGAGTAAGTCATAGATAATAGAATACTATCTTAACACATAGGCTATTGTAATATTGTGTTTTAGAAAATAAACCATTCTAAGAGTCTCAATAACACACGCGACGGATACCACAGAACATAATAGCTTTTTTTTTCTTTATTTAACAGACTTTTTAATAGTATGTAAAATATAATTAATACTTTGTACCGGGGCCCCCCCCGGGAAAAAAAAAAAAAAAAAAAAAAAAAAAAAAAAAAAAAAAAAAAAAAAAAAAAAAAAAAATTGGGAAAAAAAAAAACACCCCCCCCCCCCCCCCCCGGGGGGGGAAAATTTTTTTTTTTTTTTTGGGGGGGGGGGACCCCAAAAAAAAAAAAAAAAGGGGAAAAAGGGTTTTTTTTTGGGTGGGTAATATCCCCGGGATGCCTCCAAAGCAAACCTCATACTTGTCTGACGTAAGTCTACAAAAGACTATGATGTTGTTTAGTGCAAAAGCTTACTTTATACGGCGTTGGATTCAAATTTCTTTTGATGTCTTGACGCAGAGTCCTCAACGAAGCCTGAACCCTTTCTCTCACTTCGGACAGCGGCTTCGGCGCGATAGAGACATAGCCGTCCTTCCAATATACCTGGTTATCATACAAGTTGCATAAGAAACAGTTTTTATCGCATGCTGTACTTGACCTCGTTATTACGAGCGGTATAAAATGTGATAAGAAATATTTTTACGTTAGAAAAAAAGATTCAACATTCAATACGAAATATTATAACCTTGCAAACTCATTGTTACTTGCATCTTTGACGCAAAAAATCGTTTGAAGATCTGCTAAGTTACTTAATTACGGGACACAGAATAACTCTTTCGTGAAACAGTGAATTGGATCTTAAACCCACCATGCTGCTTCGTTGTGTGTTGATGGGCTACTAATGCGACGGCTTATAAAAGGAACAGAGTTACTTAGGCATTACAATCAATGATTTAGTTCAACACAATATGCTTGTCTGTTATTTAACATAAAATATAATTGCGCGAGACTTGCATATATCAATAGGTTGAAAAAGTTTGTCGATGACTGTAGTTTAATTGGTTAGAGAACGCTGTAGATGCCGGTTCAAGTCCTGCCCATATCGTACTTTTTTTTTTTATTCAATATTTATTTTTTAATTTATAAAACACAATATATATAAGTACCTTATAGAGATGTTCAACTTTACTAGGTATAACATACGCCCTCTTGGACTCTTGAAATGGATGACGGCAGAGAACCTTCTGACCGACCTCCGGTGCAGCCTCCGAAGAACGTTGTAACAGATCTATAAGGGCGTGGCCATCCGCACCGAACAATCTGTATGCCTGAAAAGATACATAGCATATAAGTAGCTGTATATATATTGTATTGCGATAAAATTCAATGGGTGAATTAAACGAAGTTATTTTTATTGTTACAACACAGTAGCTGTGCCAGCGACTTCGTCCGCGTAGAATAGTTATTTTGGTCAACCAAATTGGTTTTTGCAAATCTCTTCTTCATTTTTACAAATTTAAGCTGTTACCCACGACGTCTTAAAAGATAGCTATATACTGTCACAGACATTTTTTTAGATCATTTAACTTGTTTTCTGACTATTTTCGCAGCAAACGCAATGGGAACTCTCAAAGGTCGCACATTTTCATATGCTATTGATCGTGATGTTTTTAGGCTAAAAAATATATGCTTTTCTTTTATAAATACAAATACCCTAATATATATTCAAATACAAAAAAGAAGGAGGTCGGATCCTACACACAATAAATGCCATTTCTGCACTCTTCCTTCCTTTGCCTACAGTAACCAGTTGAATATGTGGACAGCATATTCAACATGATGTATATTTCACACTTCATCAAGGGGTTCACCCTAGCGTGTTTGTCGTCCTTTATCATAAAAATTATACAGTAGACAGATAACGTAACAAAGTAGAAGGAAGAAATGATGTTTACATATTTATCTGCAATTATTATCTCATTGAGTTACACGTATTTGCATAATTAATAACGGGTCGAAGTCATCGTGGAAAAGCCATTTATCACTGTTATCGAGTCATAATTTAATTCCTATATAACCTTCATTATATGTAAATAAACAGACAGATGACGTCACTTTGTATAAAGAGGAATATTATCATTAAAAAGAAGGGAATTTCGATATTCATGTCAGCCATTTAATTTTCAGGTTTTCCGGACGATGTCTAACACGTTAAAAAAAATGATTAGATGCTTGAAGCGAATCGAACCCATGACCCGTTCTTTATTAGCGATTAAGTCCATTAGTATTGCTGCTGTATTCTTATCGCAAATCCTATAAAACGTGTAACTAAACAACAATTATCTCTAAAATACCAGGTAATCGATAAATACCTCTTTGTGTCCCGGGATAGTGACTTTGCCCACGTCTTGACTCAGTTTAATCCGGGGCTGTCCGTTTATTTCCACCAATTTGTAGACACAGCCAAGCGCCGGTTGCCGTTGACATGTAACTGTTAATATCTTGGTATTAGACTAGACTAAGACTAGCATATAGTTACAATAGTAATATAGATACTATTATTGTTGCTTTAGATTCTTGGGCCACCAGAAATGATATTTCAAACATAACATTAAACGCATTGCTATGCATAGATAGCATTATACAACAGTGGTCCTAGATTCGAAGATGAAAAATGTAATAATTTCATACAGATTAGGAGATATTATTTATATAGAGATATTGAAGGTTTTGGAAAATGGGATTTCACTTTTAAATAAAATCAATTTTAACGGTTTAAAACGCGATATATATTACTAATTTTAAAACTAATTTTTAGTTTATTTTAACTACGGTCCGACTTTTCGGCAGCCGTGGTCACGGGGGGGAAGATGTCAAATTGTTAGCACCATTTGACTTTTTTACATCTTTTATATTTAGGTATTAATTAGACTTGGAGCCCTGTGGTTGCCGGTTGGAGTCCTGCCCGTGTCAATCTTAAATTGATTTTTAATTCATATGTACATGTAACTTACCCAAATGCGTTCCAATACCAAAGCAATCGATCGCATGGCCTTGCTCGTGAAGGCTCAATATTGTCTCCTCATTGATATCATTGGACGCAACGATAGTCAGTTTGGCGAACCATGGCAGATCGTGGGTGTCCGCAATTCGCTTGAACGTGTCCCTCGCAAGAACAGATAGATAGGCCAAGTCCCCACTGTCGATTCTTATACCGACCGCTCTGTACCCACAATCGTGTAGGGCCAGTGCCACAGCGCAAAAGTTCAGTAAGCCGCTCCTAAAACACTGGTTCTTAATGAAATGCCCTTTACGTTTAATAAACATTGTATATATATATATATATACATAATACATCATTTTTATGATCAAGCATGGGGTGCTCTTAGTGGAAGGTGACCTTATAATATATTGGAAAGACGAACTGTCAACGTATTTTACGTACTTTATGATTCAAAATGCCACAGACTGGCGAAACCGTAGTTACACTTTATGACTCTGCAGTTCACTGTTCTAATCTAATCGATATATCCCAAATATATATTATTTTGACAATCAATATTCGTGTGAATTGTATTTATAAGCAGATACATGGCTGGAGTGTAATATTGTGCATCATCCTTAATATATGCACTAGACTGTAGCCCGCTCGAACTTCTGGTCGCGCGTGGAAAGCAAAAATAATGACTTGGAGTATAATTTTTTCAATTATTTAGGCAGTATTATTAACTTTATTGTCTTAAATGGCGCATTTAAGGCAGCCCATGTATGTTGTAAGTGCTACTTTGCCGCAACACTCTCCTCTTACATCACTCCTACTCTAACTCCCACTCGCACTCTCCACTCCTATTCTCAAAAAGCCAAAGAAGAAAGTTTCATTGTTCTAGCTAACCACGAATTTACATACAAATTTTTATCCCCTTTTTCAACCAAATGGGTTGTATGGTGTACCTTTATTTGGCATTCAAAAGTCCTTTCTCAGGCTCTAAAATCTCTGTGTACCAAATTTCATTTAAATCAGTTTAATAGTTTCGGAGTTAAAGTCGGACAGACAGACAAAGTTACTTTCGCATCTATAATATTTGTATAGATGACTTATTTCTTATATTTCTATTAAAAAATATTCTCAGGAGATAAAGTGATGGCAAACAAAAACAAATAACAGATATTTTTTAATTAAGGTGACTTTCATACTGTCTATACTATATTAATTACGCGAGTAGTACGTAACGTTGAAATAAAACACTTTATTGGTTTAAAACGCGATATATTAATAAAACTTATTCGAAAATGTTTCCCCGTGACCACGGCTGCTGCGCAGCATCCGAAACGTCGTGCCGGAGTTAAAAATCATTTTCTAATAAGTATAACTAATATATCGCATTTTAAACCGTTAAAGTGTTTTAATTAAGGTGACTTTCGTCTAGAACTTAAAAAATACGAGATTATAAATGCAACTTTTTACTTCTTATCTAGTGTTTATTCGAGTAGAACACATTATATTTGATAACTACTTTGTATCAATAGGATGAACGTATCAGTTCGTATGTACTAAAATCGACTCAAAAAAATTTGTTATTGAACAAAATATTAATTTATTATCTTTTATATGTTAAAAAGTTCGCTTTAAATGTATATTTTGAAGTTTGGACGGTTTAAAACGTGAAATGTTAGCAATCTAATCCGATCCGACATCCAAAACGTCGGGTCGTAGATAAACTGTTAAAGTTCTCTAAAATTGCCACATTTTCAATGTAAAGAAAAATATAGTACGACAAAAACAGTACTGTATACTTCATACTATTAGTATACTATATATTAGACAAGCATTTTGATAATATCTTCAGTGTTTCAATAAAACCGATTAGTACAAAGGACTTTACCCTTCGATATCCAAATCTATAGCAAATTAGTTATACCTTGTTTAATATAGGATGCTAAGTTTGCTAACTTGCAATAAGATTTATGAATAAACTTTAAACCAAATGTATCATCCTATATGAGACGAGGTATAATAATCTACAATACAACTATTTTTATACATGCAAATGCGGCGTTCGATATCATACTGACCTTTTTACTTTGATGAATATTCGATATTTATGAAACGGTAGCGGATTACGTTATAGTTGATATGCCAAGTCGTCGTAGGCCATACAGAAATTTCGTCACAAGTTAAGAAATAAAAATGCGTCCTTATTGTTGTGACGTCACATTTAGAATTTTTTGTGGAAAATTTCAAAATTTGTGACGTCATATTACAGACGATTCGAGTGACGTCATTTATGTATGACCTCATAGGTCAATGTAATATAGAACATGTGATATGTGCTCTCCCTATACAATGCAACTGTGCCCAATGACTGTCATTATTGGTTACCGGAAATTACGTCACACTGAAGCAAAATGGAGGCACTGTGTCTATTTACATCTATGTATGAAGCGCAGTCTATACACGCTTCATATAAGCTTAAGTTCCCGTCGACAACCCTAGCCCATGTGCTGTTTCAAGTGTGATTAGCTCATGCCCTCCAATGAAAATGAAAATGCCGAACGAAAGTCTGTTTCGTTTCACTCTCTTCTAGGGTTGCCACCTGCGCTTTTTGTGCAAAATCAAATTAAATTTAATAAAAATAAATGCGTCTGCAACAATTTTTACTTCGAAGATAAATTAATAAAAATAACCATTGCAATAATCTTTCATTTAACGAAAAGTTGTGTAGCAGCTCGTTGTGGTGGCAACCCTACCACCAACATACAAATGAACGAAGAGTCAATGTGTTGAGCATTCTCATATGTTTACCTCAGTGTGCGTTCGACCGTGTATCCACGTCTACTACGGATAGTCGGTGAGTTTATTCTACCATTGGTCCCACAGTTGCGATTGCCGGAATGCCCATTGATATGTTGTCTGTGCAAGCCGTCAAGGCGGTACCTCTTCACATCGTACGTATCGACCAGCGCCAGGAAGCCGGTGGGGAAGGCTAGGGCGTAGGATATCAACGCAGCTAGTTCCCCATCGCTGGCTTCTTCGGTGGACGCATCCAGCAGAGGCGAGAGGCGATTTCGCCATTCCATAGCGATCTCTAATAGGTTACACTGTTGGTGCGTTTGCGCATGTTGCAGGGTCACACGCTGTATGTCGTCGAGTGTACTGAATGATGTCACGTACGAATGCGCGTGAGTTCCCTTAACGGGGATATTAAACATTTTCCCCGCTAAAACGTTGCTTGTGCCGTCAAAGCCTCCTGTAAGATTTGTGAGATTAATTATAACTCATAAAGGTAAGGTAGTTTTAAAATCCTGCCAAGCTCCTTATCACGCGCGCGAAGTGTGTTTATTAAGACAGAGAAGGACGGACATAAGGTCAACTTGAAATATCTCAGCCATAAATAATTTAGTAAAGATGTAGTCGACCTATTTTTGGATTTATAAGAATAGCAAGTCATCCGATCCGATGTTTCGGATGCTTGTGCTGTGGCTGCTGAAAAGCACCCAAAACGTCGGGTCGTAGTTAGAACAAAGGCTCCGTTTTAAAATCTATATATGTTGTGACAGCAGGAATATTCCAAGTCATGCATAACCGCCATACTTTCTTGATTCATATAGTTTCAAAGTAATAGAACTTTTGCTATTCGTATGGAGGACGGCACATCCAATGTCAAGGGTTCTTGTTGCGTGATTAGATGAAATTAAACTATTGGAAACTTTTATGAATGGATAACTCATTCGACCGCGGCATAGAAGTTTAGCGAAGCCGTGCCTGGCACCGCGAGGATCGGTTTCACAGCAACACAACCCGCAAGAATACGCTAATCAAATCAATAATGCGAAGTCTGCTTGGATGAGTCATGCTTAGACAAAGCGATAACAACGTAATTATGTTTGTATAAAACAAAAAAAAATATAAATGATGGGCGAATGTATGATAAATAAACAAAGACGCGTTATTGTAAAGAGTAATTTAATGTTTTCGCAAATCTTTTGATATATTCTTGTAAATAAGCAATAGATTTGATAAGAAACTTTGTAAGCTGTTTAAGCGCTCAAGAACTGGTCCTAATAAAATATATTTGTGTTGGATTGACCATTTATCGATGAAGACTTTAGGCTATATAACATTACGCTGACAATAGAAACGAAGAAAGTGGAAAATGGGGAAAATTAGAAGGATAAAGAAAATGTTGAAAACAAGAATTGTAATCAAGTTTGGTTGAAATTGATACATTGTTACCGAATACACAATTGTTAAGAGTTCAGAATCAGAATAACAATATGTATGTTCCAAATACATTTATTACCGGTCTAGCTAGTATATATGACTTTGAATGTTTGAAAAAACTACATACCTATATACGAATACTTCGAAGCCGAAAGTCCACCATCAGGCCCCTGAGCTCGCCTCAAACCAAACTCTAAAAGCGATATATTTTTCCCCGCAAACATTCTGTATCGAGCTGCATTTGTGGCCATTAAACTGAAATGTTTAAAAACATATAACTTTATAGTTGATTTTATTGTCTAATCTCAGTTTTACCTCTCTCGTCTGGTTCTACACTAGTTATATTATCATAATTAAATATTGCAGTAATCATTATTGACATATACCTGCGGTAGACTACAATAATAAAGAAACTTTAGTATTAAAAAGAGATATTTTGTTTACTTCAAAGAGTGTGTAATTAGGCCAACAAAACAGGAATTGTTATTTTAAAAGGTAGTATCATATGGACGCCTATTAATTACCGAGGGAGATAACTTCTAAAACAAGTAAAACAGTATTGTAATTCCTTTTATCTTTCTAAAATTGTAACTTTAGGTTTCTAATAGTATTCTCTTTTAACCACTAAAATGAAATACCTTGTTTTGATCTCTCTCTCTTTCTGAAATGAAATGTCCCAGCCATACAACTTTTAAAGAAGACGAACTATTTTAACTTTTGATATTCGAAAATTTACAGACTAAAACGGTAATCCAATTAATCTTCAGAAGATTTTCATATGTAGAAGAGGTTTCGGGACCCGGCTGATCTATATTTAATCCTAATCCCCTATATCTTATGGTTAAACGTATTTCCTAGCATTGTGTTACGCTCGAGAGGTTCTGGCTTTGAATCCCAGGGAAACAAAAAAAATTCAGTCGGGCAGGGCACAGAAGTCTAATCAACTACTTGCCTGCTAAAGAACGGATCAGTGAAACGGACAGAGAAATGTGGTCGCCCCATGCCCCACGAGGGGGAAACGGGATTTCACGTTGACATTGACACATATTTGTTTATCCAGAATTCCAGATAAAGTCTGACGTGTTTTAGAGACCGCACCCACGACCCAATGATTTCTACCCAAACACTATACCAACGAGGCCGTCAATATCGTTATATGATTAATATTGTTATTAGAACTAAATGTTATTTCCATGTTTTCTAAAACCAACATCAAGAACTAAGCAACATTATCTCATGTTAAACAGTCGTTAGGAAGTTAATCGCTTATGTACTGTAAATGTGTTATTACTTGTGAATAGCAATCAAGTTGGCTAGTCAAGCATATCAGATATGTTATCATTGCAAACATAACTTTACACCTAGCGTATATGTTACAGTCATAGTGATTAAATAGCTATTATACATAACAACTTGTTATCTATACTAATTTATGAAGCTTGTTCGTTTGTTTGAACGCGCCTATCTCAGGAACTACTGGTTGGAATTGAAAAATACTTATCGTGTTATATATTATTAGGAGCGAAGAAATAGCGGGAAATGTGGAGAAAACGGGGAAAATTATTCATCTTTTTAGGTTTCCGTTGCGTACGCTGCGAAAAAGGTTCAAGATAGCCAACAAAATATGTATAAAAGAATTAGATTTTCCTGTTTAAATAGTCTAAAAAAAGTTCGACGTTACATCTATCTTTTACGATTAACTTGAAAGAACGACGGGACGCGAGCGACGTCGTGGGCGATAGCTTAAATTTAAAAAGATGAAGAGGATGTTTGCAAAAGCAGATTTTGTTGCCCAAAATGACTACTCTACGCGAACGAAGTCGCTGATACAGCTATTTATATATAACACCAAAATTTACGAGACAATTTTATACAATGGGTTTGTTTTATTACATAGTACAAATCTCTGAAGATATTATAAATTGTTTATGAGATTAATCTTTGATGATTTTAATTTTTTGTTAAATTATAAAATTAAATTAAAATTTATATATTATGCTCTTATTGTATTATAACTTTAACCAAGCTTTGAAGATATTATATAAAATTAGTAATTAATATGAATAATTCTGTGTCAATAATCACGTTATCTAAGTTGACAGATAATGTATGTAATATCAAGATTTATTACTTTGGCTGTAACATATATACATAGTGTATTTATTATATGTAAACAGACAAGCAAGAGACTCCTTCAAATATACAAAGCCAGGATTAGTTAAGAATGGAATCTTGTTTCTTTTCACTTAAGACCTAGAACAGATATATTTCTGTATCCGCGTCAAGCGAATCTAACTAAGATAATATGTGCCCTGTTCGACCCAAACACTCATATAATTATTTGAAAGAACCTGTTCTCATCTGTTAATACAAAAATGATATGTACTAAGGATGTTTCTGGTGGTAAAAAGATCGTAAGTAAGATTACCGAATATATTTATCGAGGTGGCTTACCTTGCAAAGTTGACTAGCGTCAAAAGTGTTGTCTCTAGCAGTTGCGCGATTATCAAAGGTCCTTCAACTCTTAATAATGGAACTCTGAAATTCCAGATCGATTCATTATATAAGTACCAAATGTAATTATGTAAACCTTAATTATGCTTATACTTAGATATGGCTAACGTAAATAAAAAAAATATTTTTATGCAGTTCACGTAAAGCAAACCCATAAATTATTACTATCAGGAAGGTCGCGCCTTTTTAATGTGACGGGGTTAATTTGAATTTTATAAATATTTATCTCTTTTAAAACAGCATGATTAGTTGACTGCATATTTAATTGTAATAAGTACATTAACGGTGTTTCAAATTTAAAATATTGGTAATTGCACACAAATACAACCGGTTGTTACCAGATATTCCGAGTACTATAAATAATAAATACATATATACTAATATTATAAGGTCAAAAGTTTGGTTGTTTGTACGCGCTAATCTCAGGAACTACTCGTTCGAATTGAAAAAAATCTTCTTTTGAAAAAAATGCAACTTTATCTTAAAAGAATGACATAGATCGAGGGCATTTCTTCAAATAATTTGAAGAATCATTTTTTATACACATTTTTCGGTTTTCGCAGGGCATGCAACGGAAGCGGAACTTTCCAAAACCAAGTAGTTCCTGAGATCAGCGCGTTCAAACAAATAAACTGTTCAGCTTTATAAAGTTAGTATAGGTAATGATTTATCTATTATAACAGTAGCTCATATAAAATGCTACTCGTATAGTAAACACTACAAGATCTGAGTCATACGTCAATGATGCGTTTATTTTAATTGCATGACGAGATGCAACATCAAATGCGTCTTTATTTTTACTGCCGGTCGGCACAAGGAAGTGTATATAGTATGGGTTGTTTCGTAACAATTGATTTTTATACAACAGAACTGACAATCACGACGTCCACTTCATAAAATGAAATATCCCGGCTATATAAGAACTGAATAAGATATGCCGTCGACCTATTTTTGGCTTTGGGCTCGGAAGTCTCCTGAATCAAACTGAAACGGGGATTTCACAATTTACTTTTGGAAAATGGAATGGATTTTCAGTATTCCTAAAAATCATCTTAAATCCAGATTTTCAAGAACAAGATGTGTCCGATTTTTTTATTGATTAAAAAATATGTTGGACCTAGTGGGAATCGAAGCCAAGATACATTGATTGATAGTACGACTCGTGGCAATAGTACAAATTATAATCCTAATTTGTACTCTTTTGGTCGCGGTTCCAAGTCTTGGCGTCATTTGTTTATCAAATATTTTTTTTGTAATTCATATGGAAGTGTAAGTGTAAATATTAAAATTTTGATCGAATTTAGCATATAATTATATTATTAAAAAAAACAATACAAACATGATTTATATACTAGAATTAATTTCAATGGCCTTAACACTAATAACATCCTAAGAACCCAATGAAATAATGACAGAAAAAAAAAGATTTTATAAAATATTCTGGTTAAATAAACTTTCTTATTCTATGATTAGGACTGAGTGAATCTGATCATGAAATTCGTACTAATTTTAAATTCACACTGCGGACACTATCAACCGGCCTGTACGTCGGCGCAAGCGCAGATCTGATCGAAAGAATATACAATGATTGGACCTTGACAATTTAACCTACAACTTCAAGATAGAAGATTAATTCATTACAAACTATTTCTCGCCGCATTGTTTGTTTGCACAATAGAAACATACACAGTTCTTGCGTAACATGAAAATTGACACTAATCCAAGATCGTCACATCTCAGTACATTTACTAATATGAACTAATAATTACAATATCTATCCTAATATTATAAAGCTCAAGAGTTTGTTTGTTTGAACACGGTACAGTATAATGATGCCTTTCGTATTTTAATGGGGCTTCCGAGGCTTTGCAGTGCATCCAGCATGTTCGTTGAGGCAAAGGTATCGGACTTTTACACGACCACAAGATCTCGTAGTGATCATAAGAACGAATCTCATAGTGCAAACTTTCTCCGAGTACCCACACAATCCCATTTTAAGGAACTGGGCAAAGGTGCACATTGACAGCAACCGCAAATGAACAGTAATATTAACTGATTCGTAACAATTATTTTAATTTAAAAATTTTAAACAAATTGAAAAAAAATTCGTCTCGGGCAGGACTTGAACTAGTATTCGTTATTTTCGATTTTTAAATTATATAGTGCCTTCATGTGCAATAACGTGTGAAAAAATAATAAAGTTTTCAAACAATTATTTTTATTGTCTTATGACATATTTGTAAGATATCTAGGTTATATAGTGGGTTTGTTTGTACCCGAATAAAGAATATATTAATAATATTATTATTATTATTATTGAACGCCCTAATCTCAAGCACTACTAGTTCTTATTTTTATATAAAACTTCACGCTACTACAAATAGGAGCGAAGTAACAGTGGGAATTGAGTGAAATGGTCGGCTGATATCGTGGACTACCGTCCTACCACAGGTGTCCCCGATAGAAAATAATAGAATTGTGGAAACAATTTCCACTGTATCTATTATTGTCTATCTTATATATTTTCCCCGCTTGGAAAAGCGGGGAAAATTATCAATTTTTGTGGGTTTTGGCTAAAATTAATAAGAATGAGGTTTGCAAAAACAAATTTTTCTACGCGGACGAAGTTGCGTCCAGAGCTAGTTGTGTATATTAAGAGTGCTTTTACAACCATTTTATTAGTTTAATTGAATGATTGCGATGTATCATAACAATGAATCGAAGTTAATATTGAAGAGACAAAGCGCTCTGGGATATTTACAATATACACACAATGTGATTTATACTAATGTTCGAGTAGAAGAAACAAATTTTAGTACACACGACTTTATCCGGGACCTCGTGGTGCCGGGTTCGAATCGAGTAGTAGGTATTACTTCGGTAGTTGAATTTTTTTTTTTCAAGAAATATTTAGCACCAACGTCTTCGCTTTCCGTGCCTTGGGAGACGCGCCGTTAAACCGTCGGTACTAGATTATTATTACTGACTTAGTTACGATAGTCTTTAGAGCCCGACAACCTACGCTGGAGCAGTGCGGCGGTCTACGCTCTTCAATCCGTTTCCTATGAACGAGGAACTTATGCCCAGCAGTGGGAGATAATTATTATTATACATAATTTGAAATTAATCATGTCATGAAACATCGTTATTTATACAATTTAATGTGTTGACACTAGAAATACCGTACTAACATTTCACCTGACCTAAAATTCGAACCTAGGACTTCACTTACCACTAGACCAACAACACGATGATTTCAGTAAGTGGCAAGTTGATCACTTTGATCTTATATAATGAATGCACCTTAATACATCTTTTACCGATTAAAACGCGAATTATACAGTCAACTCCTTTTACTACAACTCAACCTATAAGAAAGTTTACTCGTTTATTTCGCGTTTTAAATCTGTACCACTCGTAAAAATGGATAATACTTGATTTTCAAACTACCACAGACATAACTAAGTTCTATAATTACAAAATTTATCAGTTAAACATTAGTTTCACTCACCTTGGGAATACAACAGAACCTTCTTCGATTGCGCTCAAAGTAATATCCTTACAAGTTAAATCTTTCAAGTAATCAAAAAATTCTGGCTCAATTGTCGTTGGTAATGTTTCTCTTAAATACTTTATATCTGCAACAAATTGTTTTAATTATTAAGGCAAAGACACATTCTCCCAATGTGGGGCATGGTGTGACTTTTCGCTAACTCCGACTAACCTAACCTAACCCCAACAAAACTATTTCATAAGTTTCCTGTATTTGTATTATGTTGCTTAGCAACAAAATTACCTACTTAGCATGGTAATAATCATAAGTAAAAATCACAAAAAATACTATTTGACCCCGAAAAATGCAACACATTTTTGGGTGTGTTTTATTTTTTTCATTTAGGCAAGTGCTTAATCAGTCTCCTGATCCATCAAAACATTTTGTTGCCCGGTTATAAACCCAGGACCTCTCTTGCTTACCATAATCCTAGGCACCAAATTTACCTATTGTGCTACAGAAGTAGTTAATATATTCACAAATACTTACTTACTAAGTTTACTGAGTAATGGTAATAAATTTATTGAAGTAAGAAAACAATAATGCTCACCACTGTCCGAATAATGGAAATTTTGCAAAAATTTCAAGCATTCCTCGAGGCCAGCAAATATAGTGAACTCTCCTTGAAATGGATTTGTGCGGAAGAAAAGATCAAACACAGCAACATCGTTAACTTTACCAGATTTCCAATATGCATATGCCATAGTGATTTGGTATAAATCTAAAAGAAAAAAATTAATGGCACAAAAGATATTAAAAATGTAAATAAACTACTAATTTGATATCGTTACTGCAGCATCATTTTCAACTTATAACTCCCTAACTTTTTTGTTATTAAATTACTAGGAGTATCTTAAGAGTTGAAAATTTATAAACCTAACAAATACTACAGAGGGGAAATGAGGAATTGGGTAAAATGTTCAGCATTCTATCAATTGGATATTTGGATTGGAAAATAAATTGGATTGTAATAATAACTTAAAGAGTTTTTGTTCTATATATTATGCATTGAACCATTCATAACATTATATATTCATAGTGTATATATTGAGATAAAGATGAGATATGCAAAACTTCAGATAAGATACTGTTCTAATATATATTAATTTCTTTCTATTTTCATATACCATTTTCATTCATCAACGGAGACCCAAAAATGTTTATAAAATAAAAATTATAATGAGGCAACTTTCAAAGTTTAAAATAGCAATATATACTATAAAATTGAACAAAAACCATAGATATAAATAAAGCAGCAGCCGTGATCACGGGGAGACTGAAAGCATCCGTAACATCTGGCCGAAGTTAAAAATCATTTTCAAATAAGTTTCAAACTAATATATCACATTTTAAACCCTTAAAGTGTTTTAATTAAATGAGTACTACTCGCGTTAACTATAGACAGTATTTAAAAACCATAGAATCCTATATTTTCTAGATGTAAATAAAATCACTTTAAAGGTAGAGTTCTACGCTACTTAATTTATTCCTTGTGCTACAATTCAAACCAAAGATGTCTCTCTAGCGTTCAACCTTTGGGCTACAAAAGACAGCCAAATGTACTTAATATTAAGGTGAACACAGTTTGCTATATATTCTAGATTTATTGTGACAATAAAAGGCAAGCTTCTGATCTTTGAGCAAATGATATGACATTTCCTCTAACTTTCAAGGACATTAAGAAAATGTTTAGTTTTAGAAACACTGAAGGGCATTAACCTCTTTTTATTACAAAGCAATCTTCATTGTAATTATTAGCATAAAACAAGTAAAATAATACAGAAATAATATTTAATTCATAAATATTAACAGGTAAGAAAAAAATATTTTTTAATCTGTAAGCATATATTTCGCCAGTATTTTTTGATGTCTATTTAAACATTTAAGTATATAATTTAAAAGCGTGAATTTAATATTACAGCTAAGATTTTAAAAGCAAAAATATTTCCAAACCTTACCTGTGAGCAGTGGTTGAACGACACCGTTCTGTCTCGCCATTGTTTTCTCATCAAACTTATCATTGGACATATTCGATATTTCGATAATGGTAACAAGTTACACGCGTAAAGTACGATAGCCACTGAACGACTACCTCCTGATCAAAATCATTGTGATCAAACGACCTACACTTATCAGCGCGCCAAACACTGCGTGATAATTATGTAGATGTTATACTACGAACTTTTCGAAATATTGCATTATTATAATCTAGAATATTTGCTACCGTTGACACTTGACAGAATGTCAACGTCAAACTGCCTAATGCGGATGACATTTGTTATTGTGAAACATACAAAGTAAAGCTGGCCAATCTCAATCAAAGGTAAAAATAGAGGATTGTAAAGTAAACCTATTTTATAATTTTTACATAAAATACCTGGCTAACTTGCCGCATTATTTGTTTTGAATTGGTCACCACTTACATCATAAACTTGTCGCCTGACATATGATCTTTCGTTGTCAATAGTAGCTGTCAATTTATACAAGTTCACTAGGTTCATTCTCAAACTTCGGAATACAGATAATATATTGGGTTAAGGGAAAGAGAAAAACTATATTTTATTATTATTAATAGCTTGTTTATTGTTAGCCGAATAAAATTACAATTATTATTAAGCTATGGTATAAATACATATTAAGCATTAACATTCTCTGAACACTTATATTTATTATATCAGTTAAATCACTTAAAGTAACTTTCTACAGGAGACATTGGTAGTTCATGTGTGCATTCATTTAATATTGTGACTGTACATGTCTGAAATATAAAAAATATATTTCCTGATTTTTATGGATTGTTCGGATTATATGAGTTTAGAAGACTATTCTTAGATAATAAAGCCAAAGGCCGCTCTTTCCCAGGGTGTTTTTTCTCGTAATGGATCAGTATTCCTCTCCGAGTGACGTATTTTTCATCACAGGATTGACATTGGTAAGGTTTTATTCCAGTGTGTTTATACATGTGGTACTGAAACAGAAAGAGGTAGGTTAAAAGCCAGGTAAGTCTCAATGCTTGTGCGCCTAGAATTTTGCATTTAGCCAATGCAGCGAACATAGGCATCTGCTATAAAATGCCGTAGAATAACTTTCCTTATTTACTTACAGTATAATTTTCCTTTTTCTTAAACGAGTGAGAGCACTTTGAACAGTGGTATTTGGTTTGATTGTTATTTTTCTTCGAAATAATTGTCCCTTCAGGGCGTGCTGATTCTTTTTCTGGTCTATCTTCTGTGTCGTGCTCTGTTTTGGGGTGCATTCTCATTCTATGTGAATAGAAATTGCCGGAGGTCGTAAAACGTCTGTCGCATTTAGGGCATTTGTATGGCTTGTCCCCTGTGTGTTTGTTGAGGTGGAACTAAAAGGAAACACAATAATTTAGTGATGTATATTTTGTCTTTATTGTAAAATTTTCGGGTAAAATTGAGATAAGCAGATACGCGAATCCTTTTCACAGGCATGATGAGGTTCCTCGTACACCCGGGTCAGCTCTTCAAGCTCCAACCGATATGTCGTTGGTCTATCCAAGATCGGTCCCCCCCTTTGAACCACCCTTGTTCTAGGTCCTAATCCTTTTAAATTAACATTTAGACTCTAGAGGATACCAATTTACCGAACGCGTAACCATTAAAAAAAACATCCAAAAATGTTCAAGAAAATCCTATTCTAAACAAATTGTATAGGAAAATAAATCAAATTCAAATATGAAACTAAAATTGGTCGACAGCACATCTTGTATAGATATTATATGGCTGGGGTATTTCACTTCGCATCAAGTGATCCCATGCTTTTCTGTTTTCCTCTATCATAAAAAAAAAATGATCCGAGAATTGAACCTTTGCTGACATTTTTTTTCGAAAATTCGTTTATTTTATTTTAATGCGTGCAAAAACTCTTACCCGCAACTCTTGGCGTCGTTTAAACCGTTTCAAACACACATTACATTCGAAAGGCCTCTCGCTACTATGTGTGACCATGTGGTTCTTGTATCTGCTCCTGGTTGGATACGAGAGCCCGCACACTTCACATGTGAATAATTGTTTGTTCGAATTATGTCTTTCCATATGTAGTTTGAGATTTTTGTCCGACCTGAAACTGAAACAAATATAATGTGAGAGAATTTATCTCTGTAAATGTTTGTTGTAATCGTTTATGGCTAAAACTTGTTCATATCTTTTGGATGTTTTAGTTATGAAGTCTAGTGTATTTGATGAAATACAAGGCAGTTCCAACACATGTTTTAATGTCATTATAAAATGTTGTATTTTCCAAAAGCTCTGGACTTACGAAGATTTTAATAAGAATTGCCTACAATGTTAATACTTATCTTACTAATCTACATGTTTGTTTATATTTCATAAAAGAAAAATTCTACTAATATATTCCAAAGACTCATGAGAAAATTAGACCTGGTGATCGAAAAATGTTAATAGTATAAAAGCGAAGTACTGAAAAAGCTATTGAGAAAAATTGTGAGAAAATTTTAAATTGACTTTGTTGTACCTACTGCTGCCTATTGCAGTGGCGGTCACAACTGCTACAGGCAGCAGTATTGGTAGCAGTAAAAAAATGTACATTTCGCGTTCTAAACCGCTCATTAAGTTTAATGTGTTACAATTCTTTAATAAATTATTTCAAACAAAACTTACGTCCTCTTACACAGATTGCAGTAGCGAGCATGTTTAAATTCTTTGAAATGCTCCAAAAAGTCATTTTTATAGGCGAACACTTTGTCGCAACTGGCACAATATGGGGGTTTGTCTTGAGTCGAGTGTAACCACGAGTGGTTCTTGAGCGCGAATTCTGTTAGAAATTTCCTATTGCACTCTTTGCACGCGAATGGCTTTTCTTCCGGTTGCGTGGTGTCAGTTAATCCATCACTAAAATTAGGAGTTAGGGTAACGTAATCATTTGTCTTATTCAAACACGTGATTTCAGCAAAATCTGTGGTCACTTCGGAGGCTGCAACAGCTGTTTGTATTGTGTTATTCGCTCCTTGAAATGTGATGTTTGTTATTTGTGGTATTCTCGATTGTTTTGATTCTTCAATACCCTTCAGTTGATCGTTAAACAGACTGTGTTTCATGAGGGTAATTTGTGCCTCCCGCGATCTGTCTATGAAGTCGCAGACATCACACAGTTTTCTACAGCATTGGGCACAAATGCTCTTTGGCAATCTATCGTTTGCTTCCACCTGTTGACAAACATAAGCAACTGGTAATAAATGTAACAAAGCATTATCTACCAAACAAAAAACGTCTCCAATATAGAGAAAAATTAAATTAGTTAATTGAATGTCTGTCTGTACGAGAGACATGGGGCAGGTAAGTAGTATAAGTATAACCAATCATTACTAAGTTAATCACCTATTCATTTGTCAAGGTTTTGAACCCAAGACGTGTTTATTGCACCATTTTTCTATAATCTATGTCTACCGTAGGTAATGGTGTCGTGAAATATGTAAAATTATTGACTATATGAAAATCCGATTCTCGCCTGATATTATCGGACAAGTAGTTGATCAGATCTAGATAAGTTACGGCAATGGTCAATATATCAATATATTTTGCTACAATTAAATAAATTAAATTAAAAGTTAAATGGGATATCTATGTAGATATAAGCTGTCCCGTTTATTAATTTGAAGTTTTTGTAGTTTTTTGCAGCAAACACAAGCACGCAACTGATATATTAAATTATAGCTAATTAATTTGGAACACTTCTATTGATCATACGTAAATATGTACTTTACACATATATATGTATAATAAACTAGACATAATACTAGAGTAACTTTCTCAAAAAAGTTTTCCTGTTAAGCTCAACCATCGTATTTTTAAGAAAAATAAACTTACCGAGATAAGTAGATACTTTCTTAATTTGCTTTTGATTTTCATACTGGCTGTTTCTGCGCCGAATATCAACAGAGAGGCTTCCTGGGGCTTTGCACATAAACGACAACATTTATCGAATTCATCCATCATTTACAATAACACAAAACAATATGTACACACAGTGAGTTAATATTAAGCCGGTGATATTTTTATCAATATTATTTTACTTCAGTGCACTTCTTTCTTCATGTATGTGATGTCGCGCATGCGCTATTTGTTAACGGTTATTGATATTGTTTTTCTGACAAATAGTAATGCGCAAACTCCATTTTAAACATGAAATCAGACTTTGCCGCGCAGCTCAAGACAGGATAGCGAGTCTTGGAAGTCATCCTAAGTTTTCTTGAGATCACCGTTATTCTTCTTAGCTCAATTAAAAAGTTTTATCATATTTGAGAGTAGTTGAACCATTTAATTTAAAGAAAAACATTTTAAATCCTCGAATATACATTTCGTAAAATTAAAATGGTTAAAGCATAAATTAACAATTCAAATATTTGCATTACTTTCCGCATTGATTTTTTAAATAACCAATTAATTTGGATTTTGATTTTGGATAAAAATACAATATTTTATCATATTACCTTCACTTCTAGTGTACTTAATAATTGAATGGAAAAACTTAGTTTTACAAAAATATGTTTCTTCAATTGACTCTTTCATCAAACTTATTAGATTATACTGATTCAACTATATACTTCAGCTATTTCTGAATACATTACTTGAAAAGACCCGTGTGGACTTTTAACTGTAGTTGAACAGCAATAAATAAGCCAATTAGGACATACATTACTTAAATAAATTCCTAAAAATGTAACGATGTTTAATAGATTAATCGAGATTATTATTTTTGTATTCTATCACCTACACCTACCCTCTGTTATTAATTATTAAAAGTCTTGCCTAACATTGCGTTGATCGCGAGCAATACTAGGTTCGAATCCTGGGACTTGTAAGCAAATACGAAGAGACAAACGGCCACAGAAATATGTTCGCCCCGTGCTCCAAGAAGTAATTTCACCTATTGGTGATTTTACTTCTAATATCTTACTATTTCTTTTTACAACATAGATTTTGACATTTATGATTGTTATTTTCGTCAGATAATGCTTTTGCCGAGTTCTTTGTTCTGATCTGTTGACTACACGACATTAATATCAGTAACAAAGCTAAATAGTAAATACACTAAAGAGTCCTATATCGCCATGTTTGATTTAATACTGGAAGGACATGCAGGGCTTAACTAAGGAAGCCGCTGTACTGCCTAGAAATTGCAGCTAAGGGTTCCGCCATAAAATCTTTATAAATACTAGCTGAGCCAGCGACTTCGTCCGAGTAGAATAGTTATTTTGGGCATTTATATTAGTTTTTGCAAAACTCGTTTTGATCTTTATAATTTAAGCTTTTATCCGTTCCGTCTCGTCGCTGGCGACTCGTCGTTCTTACAATTTAATCTTAAAAGATAGACATAAATGCTCTAACCAACACGAAAATATTTTTTCAATTCTAACCAGTAGTTTCTGATATTAGGGCGATCGAACAAACAAACTCTTCAGCTTATATCTTAGTATAGATAGATTATACAGCTGACGAGTTTGTTGGTTTGAATGCGCTAATCTCTGGAAGTACTTTATAAATCATTTAATTTATAGTTGTATTAGCAGTTTCTTTAAATGTATAGTTATATTTCAAATAAAGGTAGGTATTAGCTTCCCATTATTTCTGGCTGTCACTCGAAGTGATCCAGTGGGCATCACTGAAAATTGGCGCTGCAGTATCTGCTGTTGCAGCGACAGCTGAGTGATGGTCTTCCACAGCAAAGTTAGTACATGTGATAATTGTAACCAATTAATGTATTTTCTTATGTAATTGTACAATTCCTGTGTATATTATTTATATTATGTTCTTTGGTGTGGAATAAATTTTTCAATTTGAACCTCTAAAGTTATTTTTTCTGTTGGTTGAAACATTTAGCGAGGAAGACTTTAAACATGCTATAAAACATCGGGACGAAAAACGGGTAGAATTAGTTATTAAAATAACCAAAAAATATATACATATGTCCGCGACAGTTTATGCTTGCAGCCGGGCCTTCGGGCGTTAGTTAAAAGAAATTATTTATATATAAGTTATCTAATATATATTTCGCGTTTTAAACCGTTAAGTATTTTATTTAAATGTGTACCACTCGTAACTAAAGACAATACCTTATAAAACATTGCATGATTTACAAACCATAGATTAAAGTAAATAAACAAGACCTATAATTGACTCAACCTGTCGTAAAAAACAAATTCAAAAACTTAAAGTACATGTTTAAGGAACCCTAAATGTCCTCGTCCTCGTACTTTCAATGGAAACAAGTACGTATAAGCTGATCCACTTGTTAAATTAAAAATACTTGATAGGTTATGGGAACGGACGTCGATTTAGACGGGTTGAAAAGGTTTTGCTCATATTGTTGAGAAGGAGCAGCGAAGGATAGACGTTAAGGCTCTTTTCAGAACACGCTATAATATAATAGCATATAGCTCAATATCGCGTATTATTCTAGTCACACTCCGCTGTACTATATATTATTGGCTTACTATAAACTTGTGTGTAATTTAATTGTTGTATGTTATTGGTATTCAGTTCGTACCAATTTTGCTTGTAAGCTTATAGTGAATCACTACTACCTATGGAAAGTTAATAATGATCACTTTGACGACAAAAAATATTTTCTAAAGGACATCTTAGCCTTGTATGTGACGTAGTCTGAAAAGAGCCTAAGCCCCGTGGTACAGGTATAGGAGCGGGCAATCGAGGGGACCGTGAAGACCGGTCTTCGCGGGAGGAGCGGCGAGGTGCGCGTGGGCAGGGAGCGACGCGCGGGCGGGGCGTGCGTCACTCGGCACCGGCAGTCGCGCACCGAGCGCTAAAGATCTTGGACGTCGGGTGGCGGCGCGCCGACCCGCATCGTGCTAGTGTTGTGTCAGCGGTGGGCCAGGTCGGTTTCGTGATCCCTACGGTCCGGCGACACCATGGCTCTCAACTCGGACGAGCAGAAATCGAACCTGGTCCTCCGCGTGGATCAGGATTCCGACTCGGTTCTGCAGTCGTTGTTCGACACAGTGCTCAAGCCGGACTCGAAACGACCGCTACAGGTGCCTCTGCGTATGCGACAACTACCAAAGTCGTTCTTTAACCCGCCGTCGACCGGTTCTAAATCGCCATCTGTGTCTCACTCGCGGGAGAACTCGGCCGACTCGGCGTTCGGATCGTCGTCCGCGACTGGTTCCGTGGCGGTATCTCACTCTCGTGCGCACTCCTCACCTGCTAGCTTGCAGCAGACCTACGCAGCCGGACAGCAGAATCAGCAGCCGCCGCTCCACCACCAACACTCAAAACAAAGGTCGTACGATGTTGGATCTCATTTACCGGACGAATTGGGTCCTCTACCGGCTGGATGGGAGCAAGCGAGGACTCCGGAGGGCCAAATATACTATCTCAAGTAAGTTTTAAATTAACATTGTTCTTTACAGAAAAAAATTGTCTATTCGCTTACATCAAAGATTCCTATAACAAAGCAATAGTTTGTGTTGTTTTTAGATTGAGTATTTTAAACTAGTTGGTCACCCCCTATTGGCGGGTTAATTCAAATACAATTCTGAAAACTGGCCTACCCACATAAAGTTGGTACGGGCCTTAGAAAGTTCATTGTCACCTCAAGTTGGAGGAGCATTTTTTTTGGGATATACCATGACGGTACGGTATACAATGATGATTAGGAATATTCTCGTCATTATCTATGAAACCTTCGAAATAAAAGTACGTCTAGGAAAACTGAACACGAAGTTTATCGCTTTCATTTCGATAGGCGCGGCGTGGCTGCAGACAAGTGGATTGAAGCCTTGCAACTGCTATAAGCCTACAATATGATACGTTTGACATAATGAGTTGTTAATCATGATTAATGAGGCAGTCTAATAAAATATAGGAACAAATTACATAATTTGTATAAACGATTTAATTCATATTTATTTATTAAATGTTAGTGAGTCCACGTCTCTTTTTTTACTATTATGTCTATCAGGGCCAAAATAATAATTTCAAAGCGCAGATTAAGTTTGAAGAGAAAATACATTATGAGATTTAGCGATGTTGTATATCAATCCCATACTTTACGTATAATAACAGTACTTCTATTACTGCTGTAACATCGCTGAAATCTTAACAGTTTACCAGCTAACATTTTGTTTCACTTATTATCTCTCATAAAAGATTTGACTCTAACCAACCACAGATTCGGTGCAGGTTGATGTCGATTAACTAGATGCACCAAATTTGTAATTTGTGTTGTGTTGGTGGTCTCCAAGGCATGGGAACATCTTACCTCTTAAGCAAGACCCTAGTTTTGAACCCTGGAGATCGTAATCTGCTGTAGATTTGATTAATCATCAATATATATTTTTCCGCTTTCTGATAAATGAGAAAGCCAGATAATAGTTTAATTTTAACACTTGAGGATAATGCGATGAACCATGTAATGTTATCCTCATTGATGATTATTAAAGGAAGTATAGAAATCCCATACGTTAATGGTTATACGTATTATGTGGTTTATTAATTAGATATGCTCCAAATGTAGTTTATACCGAAGCCGAAGAAATATTCGACTCGTGTGAAAATAAGTAAGATCTTTGGTTCGTGTTATAATAAAATAACTGAACTAATAATTACTATTATGAGAAGAAAACTAGTTAATATAAGTGTCATTAAGTCCTGTAACAATTCATAAATTTATTGGATTCACTTCATTTTGCAATGATGACATATGTAATTTTTAGGTTAACATATCAAATATAACGCTTAATGTAAAAGTTAAGCCGAATCTGAACTTCGGCTTAACTTCGAATCGGCCGTAACAATTCTCCCATTGACCATAACGATATTATAAGGAGATATGATATAATAAAGGCGCCAACAAAAATGAAATAGTAATAAGACCACAGTTAGTGCTTATCATTTCTTATCAAACGCTCCATGTTGAAAACATAGCCGTCATTCCTTATCTTATCGTGATAATATACCTTTCTGCTCAACAATGGAGTCTGATGAACTTAGTAAATTGAATCATTTATTTATTTATTTATTTATTTATTTATTTATTTATATATCATGGTATAAACAGAACAGCGTCGATTATGGTTTGACAGTTATATTTTTCTAATAATTTCGTTTCCTAAGATAACAGTTAAGCATTGATAATGGGGTCTTTAAGAATTATTTTTCAATGTTTTAATCTCTATACTTCTCGTAGTGCATCGAAAAACCCTTTCCACCTTCTTGTTAACCATGATCTGATACCGAGTGAAAGATTGAAATCGGCTACTGCTTTGTGGACTCAGATATTTTGTTTCAATATACAATACCTAAATTTAAGCAATGTTTGAAAACTTTTTTCCATATATTTTGGCTCCTGATGGTATTATATAAATTAAGAATCTATTCCGATTGAAAAAAAAATATGATACGGGCAAGACTGTAACCTGCATCCACGTTCCGTGCAGTTGCTTAACAATGGGGTCCATAGGCAACAATTATTGATATTGGACATTTAGAAATCCACAGACTAAAACCGTAACGTGGATTTACACGGCTTTTCCACTCGTTTACTGACGGTGCTTTAGTTAATTAGCCATGCCTTGTCATTAGACCAACGAATATGTCAAAGGAACGATAACGAAGTGTCGCCTTCGTACATTGTAATTGTTAATTTGGCTAGTCCTCTGGTTCTTCTTTGGTTTTATTGCGTTGTTTGTTTGCTAACAAAGTTAGGCACCGTGTCGGATCTCAACACTGCGCCGAGGTTTGTCTAGACGTGGAAGACAGCCAATACGACATCAAAGCTTCAGTCACATCATAAATAAACTTAACTGACATAATATTCATCAAACTTATCTGGTAACTAATAATACTGTGTGCCTAGGAAGTCTAAGTCTAGGTTATGTAACAGAGTATAAATGTAACTCTAAGATAACATAACCAGTATTAACTTTTTTTCAAATCGAAAAATTTATTTCACATATATAAAAAATTAAATATTCAATGAAAAAATAGATGTGTGTGAGGGGCCTCACTCAGCTTTTGTTGTACCTAGAAGCAGACACAACGCCTATTTTCGATGATGCCCCACTTTTGAGGTAAAACAGAATATGTAAACCGACACATCACAAAATGTTTAAAGGATAACAAAATAGAAAAATTGATAAAAGGAAAACTCTCTTTTCTTTTTTATAACTTTACGTATACAAGATTAAAGCGGTATCTGAAATTCTCCTGCATTTTTTGTACGTTGATTTAAAAGTATTCAGTATTTTTTTAAATATGTACATACCTATTCAATTGAGGACCTCGTCTGTGTCATATTTTTTTTATTCACAAATTAATCAAAATAGTATATTACATACATATAATAGTTTTATATAATTAATAATAAAAAATATGACACAGACGAGGTCCTCAATTAAATAGGTGTGTATTAGTTTTTGTTTTCAACAAGCTCCGGTTCTTTTAACAATTACTAGAGAGTAAATAAACATACCTATTTATTTCGCTTATTATAAACGTAACGAATGTTATTATATTATTTATACCATACATCTTCCCTCTCGTTTCGCAATCTGGCAGTATTAGGTAATCGGCGCGTGCGCAGGACAAAATATTATTTACAAAATGAGCCCAGTATCGCGACCGGTTGGGGATTTTCTTGCGATAATATGTTATTTCGATGGCGAAAACATTAATTTACAGTTGTCGCTTGGCGGAGGGGCACAGCGCTATGGGCCATTGCGCGGCGGGCGTCTCTTCCGCGGCGGTAAATAGACATCGCTTCTTAATTGCGATGTTTTATAATCTTCATAACGTCCAGCGAACGTCTTAGCAAAATGTTTGCTTTAATTATTATTGGAATGGAGAGTAATTCTCTGTGGTTTTGTTCGGCTAGACTTGGCGATGTTCCGAAATGGGCAGCCATGCAAATTGCCTTGGCAAACGCCCAAGACGGCGCTAGCTCGGTAGCCACTGTAACACCTTATGCGTAACTTCTTTTACTTACATTTCATCTATACGCATACTAAACGTATACGTTATCATTTGCACTTATTTATTTACTAGCTGTGCCAGTGACTTCGTCGGTGTAGAGTAGTTATTTTGAGCATAAAAAAATATTTTCAGTAAACCTAGCTGTTACCCACGACGTCGTCCTCGTCCCGTCGTTTTTTTGAATTTAGCGCACACAACGAAAGCCCTCAAAAATGACTATTTTTCCTCCGTTTTTAACATTTTCCACCTACAAAGTAATCATTACGTATTTTGCAGGTGAAACAACACTAGTATAAAAAAAAAAACAAAAAATTAACAGAAGCAATTTTATAAATCCATTCGTGAATTTCGACTAAATAACTAATAGTTATTTAGTCATTTCCAACTAACGTTTTTAATAAATTTAAAATTGTGTGCGCTTACGCATCTCAAAATATTTCCTTTTAAGTTTCGTCCCTTGAATGCTTAATCAACTGAACTTGAATTGAATACAAACGATAAACTTCAAAACCTATTAAAGTTCATTCAACTTTTATAAATGATTAATTCTTATTACTGTTAAGAAACACTAACAGTAGTTATAATCAATTTAATTCGTTTATAGGTTTGTTTTTAATTATTTATATGTAAATAAAAAATATACTGTATAACTACAGACGGGAAACCGAGGGAATAAAAAAAAATATAAATATAAAGTCACTAACAACATTTATATTTAAAAATATATAGAACTATAGCTGAGTCAGCGACTTCGTCCGCTTAGAATAGTTATTTTGGGGCATCCAGTTAGTTTTTGTGAACTTCCTGCTGAACTCTGTAAATTTAAGCTTTTTTACCCACGACTTCATCCGCGTCCCGTCGTACATGTAAGTTAATTTTAAAAGATAGACATATAGCGTCGCGGACTTTTTTTAGATCATTTAAAGAGGAATCATTTTCATACATATTTTTTGGGTACTTGTTTTCGCAGCGTACGCATCCGAAACCCACAGAGATGAAAAATTTCCCCCGTTTTGTTCACATTTCCCGCTGTATCTTCGCTTCTATTAGTCACAGCGCGATGTTTTATAGCCTATAACCTTCCTCGATAAATTTTTCAATTTGAACCATTAATTCCTGAGATTAACCCGCTTAAACAGACAAACTGCTGAGCTTTATATATTAGTATAGATATAATATATTAACATTTACTATCAGTTGTAAGTTTAAGTAATTATTAAACTAGGTACTACTTTTTTTATGTGTGATTGCAATAATCCAAATTGAGTCAGTGAATACATCTATATAATGAATAATGTGAACCAAGAAAATGTATGTATCCTACATACATCTTTCCTCCTACATACATTTTCTTGGTTTCACGATTATATCTTAAAACTGTGACGTCATCATTTTTAATTTCACATA